ATCTTCATGAGGTCTTTTGATGTTGAATACAAATATCAATATTATTTGCTTTCCCCTTCCCCTCCACAAATTATACCGACATCAAATACAGTGAAAGCAGGGGTTATACTGTGATTATTTGCAAATAAGATGAATACATACACTTTTGACAGGAGCACAATAGAGGTCACTATTTTCAATAAATACATTTTTCATGATTTCACTGGCTTTTAAAATTGTTTCCAAAGATTCTGTAGCTGGGATTCTGGAATTATATATGTCTGCCTACATTCAGCACACCTATCAATTTTTTGAGGCTGAAAAATTCTCCATGCTTCATGTGTAATATTTCTTAGTATATCTGGTATTTTTTATGGTTCATGAAGATATTGTCCTGTTTGCTTTTAGAAGTTTTGTGATTCTGGCTTTTATGTTTAAAATTATAGCTGGATTCAAGTTAAATTTGTGTGTATATGAAGACAGGTAAGGAAGCTCATTCCTTTTCTACCTAGTTGTACAGAACCAATTGTGAAAACAGCCCTTCTTTTCAACTGGCTTGAATTTTTATTTTAAAAAAATATGTTGTGGGGCTTGAACTCAAGGCCTGGGTGCTGTTGGGTTCCAGGCTAGCATTCTACCACTTGAGCCACAACACCACTCCGGGTTTTTGAGTAGTTAACTGGAGATAAGAGTCTCACAGAAACTCTTTTGCCAGGGCTGGCTTTGAACCAACCATGATCCTCAGATCTCAGCCTCCACTGTAGCTAGGATTACAGGTGTGAGCCACTGGTGCCCAGCTATAAAAATATTTTTTAAAAGACTTCATATAACATTATGTGGTGCTGTATTCTTGACCTGTTTGCCATAACCTAGAACTTCAAACTATTAGATGCAATGAACTATAACAAAAAAAATTTTAAAAATAATGATATATGTATGTGGATCTTTAAAATCTTTTGAGTACACATGTACACACACACACACACACACACACACACACACACACACACACACATACGCCATAGTGCACTCACTAATGCATTCTACACTGTATCTTGAAGTAAGGTATATAAAGACCTCCACATTTTCATATCATTCTGCTTTTGACCATTTGCTTTTTCCATATACATTATAGAATAAACACACCTTTTTTTGTGTGTGTGTCAGTCATGGGGCTTGAACTCTGGGCCTGAGCACTGTCCCTCAGCTCTTCACCTCAAGGTGAGCGCTCTACCACTTGAGCTACAGTGCCACTTTAAACTCGTCTTTGTTCAAGAGTCTGATGAGATTTTAATTTGAATTGCATTGATTTTATAGGTAAATCCACTGAAGATGGAGTTCTTAACATTGAAATATACAAACTATAAGCATGTTACATCTTTTTTTAGTTCATCTTATATAGATTACAGTAAATGTTTGTAGTTTCCACTATCATACCCTTGTATCTGCATTATAAGGCTGTTAACATAAATGTTGACTTCTGAATGTTCCTTATTGCAAAGACATCGAATTTCAATATATTTGTAATGATTTTCTATAATATCATCTTGTGAAATGCACTTACTTGTCCTAATAGTGTCTTATTATGCATAGACCCTTATATGTAAGGGTATATAACCCTTGTATATAACCTGAATCATGGCACTGTTGCCTTTTCTTTAAATTTTTCCTTCAGTTTTGGCATTGGCTAAAAATTCCAGTATAAGCTGAATGCAAATGGTTAGAATGATTATTCTTGGCTTGCTTCCAATTTTAGAGGAAACTCTGCCAACATTTCCCAATAAGTATGATATCGGGTAATTCTTCATGTGTGTTTTTTTAATCTTAGCAATAGGCTGAAGAAATTGTCTTTATTTCTAGTTTGCTGAGAGCTTTTATAATGAGGGTAGAGTTCTACCAATTGCTTTTCTGCATCTATTGAACTGACTATACATAATTTTCCCCTTCATTATGTTAATATGGTGAATTACACTGATTTTAAGTATGTAAAGTGAGTAATTAAAGCTATACATTTCCTTCTCTTTTTAACTATAGCCACAAAAATGTTGTTTTCTTTTTCATCCAATTTGAAACCACTCTAAATTCTCTTCTGCTTTTTTAATCCTATATGCAGTTGAGATTGGTATTCTTTGATATTCAAATACTTGGACATATTTATTTCTGAAACTATATGATTCCAATCTTTTTGAATTTTAAGACTTGTTTTATGAAACAGTATGTAGCAGTATATAGTCTATCAATCAACTACTCTCTTGTTTTGGCAGAGCTGAGGACTGAACTCAGAGCCTTGTACTTAGCAGACAAAGGCTCTTCCACTGAGCTAAATCCCCAACCCCTCAATATACTATTAAAAATTATGGTGTAAAAGCTGTTAAGCATAGATATATGTGAGTAATTTCTCTTTGTTGGCAAAACAGCCTAAATAATTCACTACTAAATAATCCAACCAAACAATTACTTCAAGAGATGACCCAGTTAGAATATCTTGGGTTTTCTATGACCCAATATGTAAATCCTTCAGCCTTAGTTCAATGCATCTTTACTTTTGGCTCCATTTATGATACTTGTAAACAAAGTGATCCTGGCCTATTAGATTCATTTAGAAATAGTTTGCCATTACCTGGAATTCAAACACAAGGCCAAAACTTGTATTTCATATTGATTATGTTCTTCTTCTGTGGTGTGTATGTGTGCATGCATACGTGTGTGGTGGTGGTGGTGGTGGTGTGTGTGTGTGTGTGTGTGTGTGTGTGTGTGTGTGCTGATCCTGGGACTTGAACTCAGGGCCCAAGGCTAGAATTCTACACTTAAGCCACAGCTCCACTTAGGGCTTTCTGGTAATTAAATGGAGATAAGATTCTCATGGACTTTCACTGACTTGACTGGCTTTGAACCGTGATTGTCAGATCTCATCCTGCTGAGTAGCTAGGATTACAGGCCTGAGCCACCAGCACCCAATTGTGCTGTGTTTTCATAGATAGGTAACTGAGGAGAAAGATCTATAAGGACACAAATTGTTTGCATAAAAATTTTCTGTACTAAAGGTATGGAGAGTAGAAATGAACATCATCTTACTTCTCATTGATTCATTCTACCTCTAACATAATTCTTGGCTGCAGTCCTGTATATGTGTACATATGTACATGAAGAAGAAACACACCATATAGCAATACCACATTCTTAGGAAAAAAGCAAAAAAATCTAACACTCTTAAAGCAATTTTTTTTGGACCATAGGGTGTTTTTTTTGGGCGGGGGTTGTTTGTTCTCATTCATGGGTCTTGAACTCTGGGCCTGGGCACTATCCATGAGCTCTTCAGCTCAAGGTGAGTGTTCTACCACTTGAGCTACAGCACCACTCTGGCTTTCTGGTGGTTAACTGGAGATAAGAGTCTCACAGACTTTACTGCCTAGGCTGGCTTTGAACTGTGATCCTCAGATCTCAGCCTCCTGATTAGCTAGGATTACAGATGTGAGCCACCAGCGCCCAGCTATAAGGTTGGTTTTACAATAGATTTTCCTCAATATCTACACTGAAAGATCTCTTACAGGACATCACACTATCTGAAAACTCTTTCACTCCAATCAACCTATTAGAGATAAGCTTAACATGTTTTACAAATATAACATGTTTATTCACAGATATAATACTAAAGGAAAAATTAAACCCTAACGAACATATTAATATGATTATATCTTTATTTGTAAGTGCAAAGAGGTTCTTGTTCTATGCCAGTGTTATATTTGACAAATAAAGGATAATAAAAATAAAGAAAAGAAAAATGGTTAATACTGTAATTATTCATCATTAATTTTTACCATCATGCAGAGTTTAGGGTTAGAGTACATGGTTGATGTAGTATTTCAATTCAAACAATTGACACAGTGAAAACAAAATTATTTCATATTAAATTTCTGAAAGAATTATGGAAGCTCCTTTCAATCTATTTCCAAACTATGTTTCTTCCTGCTTCATTATTTTCTCACAAATACTATAAAGGCAGAGGCACCTCTGCAACTGGTGTATAAGTATGGAATGATACATCAGAGTCAATATTTGAACTGATATAGCGAGTTGTGGTTACAGCCCAAAGTGGTGAAGCACAGTCCTGAGCACTTACTGCACACTCATAGATATGTGATGAATAAAATGGAATGTGACCAGAAAAGGCCAAGATGTATCCACTAAATCACCTAAGCCAAAGGTGAATGACAAAACACCATGCAAACTCAGAGCATTTGATTCCTTCAAAGCATCAGTCACTTACCGAAGGTTAGTGTCCCTTCCAGTGAGCTATGAGAGGCGTGAGCTGAAGCAGTGGAAATGAAAGGCATCGCTGTGGTATCACTGTTGTTCAAGACTTTACAAATATACAGATTGTTTAGTTTCTCCTTTGCACCAACCTGACGTCATCAAGGCACTGCATACATACCTACCATCTATCGTCAGCATCCTTAGGGAGAAATTGGATGGCATCTCCATTTCTAATCAGGAGGTCTTCTGAACCACTCTTTGTGCAGTCTGCTAAGGGTTTATATTTACCTGGAGAGTATAAAGTTGTTGTTGTTGTTTGCCAGTCTGGAGCTTGAACTTAGGGCCTTGGCACTGTCCCTGAGCTTTTATGCTCAAAGCTCTACCATCTAAGCCACAGCTCCACTTCCAGCTTTTTAGTGGTTAATTGGAGATAAGAGTCTCATAGACTTTCCTGCCTGGGCTAGCTTCAAACTGCAATCCTCAGATCTCAGTGTCTTGAGTAGCTAGGATTACCAACCTGGGCCATTGGCACCCAGTTGTAAAGTTGTTTTGAAAAACCAAAGGACAAATTCAATTGAAAAACTACTTGTATAACCACCCGCTATCTATGACATGAAGTACGTACTGTTCACTTTGATGATAAATATGGTTGGTTGCAACTTTGTAGGAACAATAAACTGGAGTGGTTTGTGACAGGAAAACAGAAGCAGAACATATGTTTATATAACCTGAAGATTTCCTTTTTTATTTGGAAAAGGAATTACAGCATGAAATGTACAAAAAAAAATAATAGAGCACAACTAATCCATTAGATGAATTATAAGCACAAATCCAGAGAGAAAAAGAATGAAAATATTAAATTTTAAATACAACTCTTTGTAAACTAATCTCATGAAAATGTTATCATAGTACATACAAAATGCAATAGCTCTAACAAAATTTGCTAATGTCTCCAAAAGGATTTTTGGACTGTGTATCATCTTGCACAAGGTAGTACAATGGACACAAGCTCTAGATCCAATTAAAGCGTATTAAATCATAATATTGTGCTTCGCTTGACCTTAATCATTTTGCAGCCATTTTAATTTAATTCAGAATAAGCTGAATAATCCAAGGCACACTGATTGCATTTGGTTACATAGTAGATAAAGAAGAAACTACTTTCAAGTTCAAATGTATTCTGAGATGAGAATTTCTCCAGCACAGTAACTTACACATGAAATATACAATTTAAAAAAAATAAAGAGCAACTAAAACATTTTTTAAATATCAAAGAAAAAATAATTATGTGCTGTGTGGGTTTTTTTGCGTGTCCAAAGAAATTAACCTGAAAGCAACATTCACATCATTTTGGTTGAATGTCTTTTGAGCAGGACTTTTTCCAAGTAATCTGAGAAGCAGGCAGGAAAGAGTTACAGGCTACTTGACAGAGTAGTTTCGTCAAAATAAGAGAGCCATGTTGAACATCCATCTCTGCAAGAAAAATGGAATCCATTATTTCTCAAGCTGCTTCACTGGTCGTTCTCAAGCTGCTTCACTGGTCGGTTGGTTCTTGAGACATGTTCTTGCTATGCTACAAGCTTGCCTAACCTAAAACTTTCTACATAGCCTTGGCTGGTTTCAAACTCAAGATCCTCAGGCCTCAGCCACTAGAGGGCTTGGATTACCAGGATGTGCCACCATACTTAGCCTATTTCTGGTTTTGACTCAATACAATGAAGCCAGAAGAAAACTTCATCCTAACTTTCTTGGTGATGGAAGGAGGGGGCTGGAGATCACAGCGCAATGCACTTTTATATGTTTTCTCTACTAGTTCAACCTAGAAAACTATTGGGAGAAACAAAAACTTAAATTGGTTTTTCTTCATCCAATCCCCCGTGAATGAAGAAGCATTTATCAATTCTTTTTATTGTATGATTCCATAGCTGGACAAAATGCTTACTTAAGGCTTGGTTCTTGACGACCTCTTCACAGATCATCTATGATAGCAAATGTTTAAATACAAACTGGCTTTCACTGATCGTTTGCTCACATCTGAACAAACTGCTGTGATCCAATTCATCCTCAAATAATATTAATTAAGGAAAGTAAACATTTATTATTAGTCTAAACCAACGGTCTTCAAAGTGTGGGAGGGTAGATCACGAAGGGTTAATTCCATAGACTCAAGAGATCTGAAAGTTCAAGTTTACATTAACACATTAATTGCTCTTTTTACCCCCTCCTTCTTATAAATATATGGGTAGAACTTTCTAGAAGTTACCTGATATGGGATAGTGAATGTTAAAGAGACTTACAAGAGAATTCAAATGTCACTCTTCTAAATTTTTTTGCTTCAAAAAGGTCACTATTAATTAAAATATTATTTGTACAAGTTTACAATGGGCTTAATTTAAAATAAATATTTTTCAGTTTTAATTTGTAATCAAGTAAATATCACTAGACATAATCTACATAAATAAAAGTTCTTTGGGGTTCTCAAATTTTAAGAACATAAAGTGTTCACTCATTTGAAATGTGGTTAAGACCATTAACTGTAGACAAATCTTTTGCCAGCTCTAAGCCTTGTTTCCTCTTCTGTAAATTAGAAGTAATAAAGTTGTCATTCTCACACTAATACCAATCTATTGATACAATAGAAGCTACCATACAAATATGTACCTGGTCATTATATTATAAAGAAACATTTATTACTCTTTAAAACCATGCCAGAGTCCACTGCGTTCAGCTTTGTCATTATCCATGTCATTTTTTTTTTTTTTTTTGGTCGTGAGGCCTGAACTCTGGGCCTGGACACTGTCCCGTGGCTCTTCAGCTCGAGGCTAGCACTCTACCACTAGAGTCACAGCTCCACTTCTGGCTTTTTCTGCTTATGTGGTGCTGAAGAATCGAACCCAGGGCCTCATGCATGCAAGGCAAGCACTCTACCACTGAGCCACCTTCCCAGCCCCTGTCATTATTTTTAACACCCACATTGAGTCTCCCAAAATAGGTTGATTCTTCTGAAGGGCAAAAGAAGCAATCCACTATAAAGCACCACGTCTACCCTCTAAGCTAATAACTTCAGACAAATAGGAATTGGCCCTAAATAGTACTAATTCCTCTCTACTAACTCAGTAAGATGCTAAAATCTTGCCAACTCTTTCTTCTATGAAACACTTTTTACATAAGTTATCTCCTGCAATTTAACGAGTACTCTGTTGCTATAATGTGCTGAGAGTTAGGATTCATTAGCAACTTTCTGACAACCTGCAAAAGTATATTTCCCAGATGTGGTTAAATAGGTTTTTTGAAACATGTAATCTTTACTTCCTATATTTTCTGATCTCCAGTCCAAACTGCTTCTAAAGTATATTTGTAATTTCTCCATTCTCTATCTCACCTTAATGAAAAACATCACTAGATAAAATTCCAAAACTTACACATGCACAACATACAAAACCGTGTGGAAATGTGGAAAATCTGAGTAAGATCTGTGGGTTGTACTCTCTTCATTTTCCACTTTGTGATATATTATACTTCTGCAGGCTATCACTGCAAAAAACTGTCAAGGTTACAAAATACCTCTCTGTACTGTTTTTGCTATCTTCCTGTAACTTTATAATTATTTCAAAGTAAAACTGAAGTAACATTGATCAACATGCATTGCAACCATAAATTAATATGCTGAATTGAGACTTCTTTGTACAATGACTGAACAATAATAGAAAAATTATTAAATAAAAACATAAAAGTGATCACTTTCTAGATATCTGCAAAGGTTGAGTAACCTTATCAATTTCAGAAATGTTCCACAGACACTTGAACTGCATTCTATTTAAATAACTATTTACTGAAAGTTTATAATAAGATATGCTTCAAATCAAATCTAATGATCTTAAGGATGTTAAAAAATTATCAGCACAACTGTTGCAAGAGCATTATTTTACTATGGCATTATTATCCATTTAGAGATCTATCTTTTTCATCATCATAAATAGAGCACAAACAGTTGTTTGCCAATTCCTGGCACTCTAGATATTTCTGCAGATGGTGATGGCTCAGTCCAAACAATAAGAAAACCACTGAGAGCAGCAGTTATGTAAAGGTGGTGATTCACCACCAGGAGAGAAGAAAATGCACTGCTATACTCAAAAGGCCAACTGCCAGTGGACTGAGATTAGTAATGGGCTTTGTATAACAAAATCATCAATTAGGTTATGCTATTTTAAAATTTGACATTTCAGGGAGTGGTTGGACTATCATAGACTTCCTTTCATTCTTAGAATGGCTGCAAATTGGAGTTGGTGGGAGAGTTTTATTATTTCCTTAGCAAAAAAGCAATTATTCTGAATGTTTTCTGTAATGTTTTTATTAAATCTATTCAAATAGAACTTATTAGATTTACTTATATAATAATTTGGCATGGTTTGGCTGTCTTAATCTTCAATGACAACATGCTATATATTGTATGTCTAATAAGAGCCTACATGTAGGAGATGCTTGATTTTTCTTTTTTCTTTTTTTTGTCAGTTGTGGGGCCTGAACTCTGGGCCTGGGCACTGTCCCTCAGCTCTTCAGCTCAAGGCTAGCGCTCTACCACTTGACCACAGCGCCACTTCCGGCTTTTTTCTGCTTATGTGGTGCTGAGGAATGGAACTCATGCATGCGAGGCAAGCGCTCTACCACTGAGCCAACATCCCATCTCAAAATGCTTGATTTTTATAAAACTCGAATTGGTTTAGATTTAGTCATATAAGTTACAAATTAACAGAACTTTATTATGATCACATGAAATGCTTCATATGATCATAGAAAATTCATGTCAGTCTTCTCTGGTATATCTTCCTTACCTGTGAAATGAAGGCATGCATACCAGGCTCTCTCCTTACTGCTCTAGGGTCTGCAACATAATGACCTGAAGGAACTGACCTTTAAATGGATAACTGAACACTTAAAAGGGTCATCATTACTTCCTTGTCAACAAAAAGGAAACTCTTCTAGCTTAAGGTGGCTAAAGGACCAGGAGACGGGGGCAGGGGGGGGGGGGGAGAGGAGAGAGGAAGAGAGGCAGAGAGGGAGAGAGGGAGAGAGGGGGGAGAGAGATAGGGTTTGAACTCAGGGACTGGGCAATGTCCCTGACCTTCTTTTGCTTAAGGCTAGCACTCTATCATTTGAGTCACAGAGCCACTTCAGGCTTTTTGAGTGCTTTATTAGAGATATGAGTCTTATGGCCTTTCCTACCTGGGCTGGCTTTGAACCGTGATCATCAGATCACAGCTTCTTGAGTAGCTAGGATTGCAGGCATGAGCCAATGGTCCTCAGCAAGGACCATGCTATTTAAGTACTGAACATCAAGACCTCTATTTCGCAATTTTGCAGGAGTGTGTGTTGTCAGTTGTCTAGGTAAGATCCTGTTGGTTGCTTCTACAGTGCCTTGTACCATCCTACTGAAACACCTCATGTAATTATTTTGGTTTTTACTGAGGTTTGAACTCAGGGCCTCAAAATTGTTAGAAAAGTTCTCTACTGCTTGAGTCATGCCTTCAGCAGCACACTGAATTTAATTGCTTAAGGAGTGAATTCTCCTTCTACCTTCCAAATTTCATGAGGATAGCAGCTGAATTCTGGCATGTGCATATGATTAAGTTGATACTTGCTAGAGCAAATGCATTAGTTAGTATGACTTCAATAAATAAATTTTCTAGCTCTAGTCATGAAACCAAAGGTGAGTGATGAGTGCATTCTTTAAAACCAGTATATGTGTACTATTCATCACCACATCCTCTATAAAGGGGTTGAGGACGGATCAGAATCATCTAGAAAGCTGGGTAAAACTCAGGGTGACTGGGCTGCACACCCCAAATTTCTGATTCAGAAGGTATAGGACAGAGAAAGCCAAAGAATCTGCCTTCCATAGACATTCTCAGGTGCTTCTAATGTTATGGTCCAGGAATCATTCTTAGACAATCACTGCTCTCTAATGCCCATCAGAATTGTTTTATATGTGCAAGACAAGAAAACCTTATAAAATAGGTTAACTTTACTCTCTTTATATGAAAACAACACATCGGTAGGTTTTTTTTTCCAAATTAGCAATGAACGGCAGATCAAAATCTATACAGCCTTCAATCTCATCATAGGATGACCATAACACATACCTGCATTTGCCTCTGCCTCAACTGACAACTACCTCACTGACCTTCTTCAGAGCATCGCTATGTTCCAATTCACTTTCCTGAACTCTTTTGGAATCTAAATATTGCTTTCTGAAATAATATACAAATAAGTGATATTTTACAGCCAGGCACCACTGGTTCATGCCTATAATCCTAGCTACTCAGAGGCTGAGATCTGAGGTACAAAGACAGCCTGGGCAGAAAAGTCCATAAAACCAGAAGTGGAGCTATGGCCCAAGTGCTAGAGCACTAGCCTTGGACACAAAAGCTCGAAGACAGCACCCAGGTTCTAAGTTCAAGCCCCAAAACTACTCTGAAGAGAAAGCCCTAAGTGTAATTCAGGGATAGTGCCCAAGCCCTGAGATCAAGCTCCAGAGCCTGCACAAAAAAAAGAGACTATCTTGAACCCTAGAAGATGAAAGACTTTCCAGTGACTTGTGTTCTCCTAAAGCTCCAATTGAAACAATAGATCATTTACCCACCTATTGAAGGTGATATTGCAACACAAGAAAATCCAATAATCCTAGTAATTCACTTCATGACTCCTAAATTATTGAAATGTGGCAGGGTGAATCTCTGTTCTTGGTTTTGGAATCTGTATGGGAACTTTTTCTGTATATGTGAAAATATGGACAATTGTACTTTGTAGAATTCCTACACATAGAACACAAACACCACGACTCTACCATATAGGATTGCCACCTTCTTCAGGACTTTCTAGCTGTGTCCAGGCTGTTATTTGTCAGAATCCATAACTCATCTCTAACTATATGTAGCAAAGACCAAGTCATCAGCAAGTGGTTTCCATGTGGGGACTACAAAGCTGTGAGCTAGTCCTTCATTTGTTTGGCTGCCATGCTTTTACAGTTCTCTCTAGTCATATAATGTGTGATCAAAAACTCTCTGAAGGTAGGCATAGTGGCTCACATCTGTAATCCTAACTACTCAGGAGGCTGCGATCTGAAGATTGCAGTTTGAAGTCAGCCCAGGCAGGAAAGTCTATGAGACACTAATCTCCAATTAACCACCAAAAAGCCAGAAGTGGAGCTGTGGCCCAAGTGGTACAGCACTAGCCTTCAGTACAAAAGCTAAGGGGCAACACCCAAGTTCTGAGTCCAAGCTCCAAGACTAGCACTGACACGCATGCACACATGCACACATGCACGCACACACACACACACACACACACACACCTGCACACACACACACTACACACACACACACACCTGCAAAGATAAAGCCCTAAGTGTAGCTCTATTTACAGAATTATAGTGATAATTCCAATTCCATAAAATTCTAAAACTGAGAAAGGGATATATATATATGTTTATGTTACTTGATGACTTATTGCTAATGGCAGATTCACTTTTGTCTGGGATATTTGAATTGCATTGTTTCATGTTATCTAGGGAAACAAGAAAACTTCAAGGCTGATATTTCTTGAAGAGTTACCACTTACTCATCACTCTGCTGAGGGCAAACATCACTCAGCTCTACGACCTGCTGCTTCCGTTTTTTCACTGTGAAAGAAAATAAAGCTTAAATAAGCATCATTCAGAAGCCACACTTCATACTTCCTTAAAGGCAGTGTCTCTGTGTCTTGTCTCTGTCGTTCTTTCTCTTTCTCTCCCTCCTTCCCCCTGCTCCGCCTCTCATACATACATATATACACATAGAGATTTTCAGGGACTTGAAACAACAAGGAAAGTTACAAACACACCAAGTTTAGAACTACAACTAGCTCCCTATCCCAATCTCAGTGGGCACTGATTATTTGAGTACCTAAACAGAGCCTACTGCTAGGAATGACTAGGAAGCCATGGTATACTGCTTCTCAACTGATTCTCAGGAACTAGGGTTCAGTTTGTGAATCTCAGTCTTCCACTTAGTAGTTTCACAAACCCTTGCAATTATAATTGAAGAAAGCTAATACCCACCCTATTCACAACAAAAAGTTTCACAGAATACTATTTAAGGGGCTCTTATTGTGCTTTCTTTTGTAACGGTTATTTAAATATACCTGTTATAAGTTCCTGTTGCTTCAACAAAATACTTCTTATTTCTTTTAGCCATAACATCTTCACATCTACACTTTTAGCCTAAAGATTAAGAAAGAAGGGATGGTATATTTTCCTGTTATAAAAGAATGATTTTTACCATAAATGTAATTACATCAAGGACAATCTACTCCCTAAAACACCATATTCACATTCTAGCCATGTAATTCTTAAAACTTCTAAGAAGCTAATCATTAGCAAGCAGATTAGACATAGTAGAAATAAGACACTGAAAACTATTCTGAAATGAGCCTTAGATAATGTAACAACAATGATTAAAAGAAACACAACTGATTTCCTTGGTTTTTCTCTTTGTTCTTTAAAAATATACATAATTTTATAAAGCAAGCTCTAGTATTTCCCCAAAATAGAATCACTTACAAAATAAACTTTGCGACTAATAGCTTGAAAGCTCCCTTAACTATCCTCCCATTACTTACAAGATAAGCTTGCTAAATGATAAGTATTATGTTGTAAAGTAAGGCAAGAAAAGGTATTTTATAGGTTCTAGTCAGTATAGAATTAAGACAATCAAAAAGCAATGAGCATTGGCAACAGACAACAGTACAAGGATCACACACAATTCATGACATTGAGATTTCCTGAATATTTGATGACAACATCATAGCATATTCTGATGCTCTTCTCTTCCTTCTAACACAGCGGACCTTATAGCATATTTGATCAGGGCTTTAAAAACTATACTTTAGAGCAAATGTGAAGCATCAAATCCTCTCATGAGGAACCCAATGGTACAGGCAAATATCTGCCAAGCTGCCATGTACAGTTCACTGGTCTCCTAGAGAACAACATGATCATCCCTCAATTTAAAAAAATGCATGCTATTAGAAAAATGTTTACATACATCACAAAGACTATTGAAATATATTGAAGTGATTTGTAGAAAAAAAGTGAAATTTTATGAGATGTGACCAAAAGTCTTTATCAACTCAGGTTTTTCATCTTAAGGTAGACTATGATTTCTAGAGTAATTTTACAATAACCAACCTGTACAATATAAACTTCTTCCTTCCCACCATGCCAGATTTCAAACTTGCGGTTATCACTTTTCACATATTCTGTGATTCCAACTTCATCCATCTAAAAGGAAGAAGTCACCTTTGTCATAAGCGGTTTATTCCGAATATGAAGTTACATTAACTCTATCTCATTTATGTTCTAAATGAAACCAACTTTCTCACTTGGGCAAAATATACATTTTAGATTCAGTGACTATGAAAAGACAATTATTATCATAGGCCAAAGTAGTTAAATGAAAGCATTTTCATAGTTCAGAATGCACGCTGAATTGCAGTAATTGATACAATTGTGGTAAATCTGAACATCAAAAGAGGACATCAAAGATTGAAGTCTGTTACAAACTAACTACACACTATTAAACCAAATTTGCCACAGAGAAGTAAAAGTAATTAAACATCAGTGAGAAAAGGCATTTGAAATTAATTTAAATGGGTAATTATTGGCCAGAGCACTTACTCTTAAAAATGTATTATTTATCTCCAGCTGTGAAAATTTACAGAGCAGGGGAAAAGCACTCAGGTACACAGGGATCACAGAACATCCACCAATCCCTCAATCCCTTAGTCTCTATGGAAATCAAAATATCTCTCAGTAAAACTTTTGGGGGATGGAGTGGGGACTTCTATACACACTCTTACTTACCGAAGCTTTCCTTCTCCTCCATATAAATGTGCTTCTCAGTTTTCTTTCATCTTTTGTTAATATGTTGGCTAATTGCATTTGGGGTAATTTTACTACCTTTTATATAAACATGTTCTATTTCTTTTTTGCCCCTTTTCTTTTCTTTCAATTCTTACCTAATTATCTGAAGGAATATCCTATTAGTTTCACTGATGAGCCTCTCAAATGACTCTCATTGAAACTGATAAGAAATAAGGGTAGTACTAGTGAAATTACTATATCAAGGAAAAAGAATGCAAGTATACTTAGAAATAAAACAGAATCAAAGTGCCTCTGAAATCAACCTTGAATATAGTTGGAAGTTACTTTTAAAATGATTCCAAATATATTTATGTTCCTGCTATACCTCTCAAATCTATTTCTGTTCAAATATGAAGATGTAAGACAAATAGTACTCATTCCATCTTTTTAAAAATTAATTTTGTTTCATAGCATGGCTTTGACTTATTCTCAGGATAAGTTAGAAAACAAACTTTAGAGTCAGAGAGTTGGCCTAGAAACCTTTACCATTTACTAGCTATTTATTTTTCTGTAATTTGCTCAACTTTTATGAAGTTCTATTTCCTTCTTTATAAAGTAGAAAGCACATCTATTTTGGAATTGATATAGGATTAAATAGCATGCATTGAATATTCAGATCATATGACCTTCTCGAAGTAAGAATTTTTTTCTACTCCTTCCCTTGTTTGAATTGCAAGTGTTTTATTATGTTTTACTGCTAACAAGCAATACATTATTATTGATGAAATTATTTTTAGTTGTCCAAGGTATCTGTTATCATCACTATGTGAATATTTGCTAAATAAAAAAAAAACAAACAATAAATGTAGTAATAAAAAAAGGATAACAGACCATCAGGAAAGTAGAGAAGAAGCAAAATAATTTTCTTCCTTAAAATATAAAGTATTATTTGTTTCCTGTGTCTACTAAGTCACCAGGCTCTTATATCTACCTTCCATTGAAATGGGTCCTATGGCTGTCTCACACAGTTTCCATGGTAATTTATTGTATTCTCAATTCTCCCAACTGCATCACTTCAAAAGTCCCTCCTTCCTTACATTACTGAACTTGACAAAAATTCTGCTGGTATGCTCATCATTGTGTCAAATTGAAGGCAAAATAGAAAATCAATACAAGTGAGAAATTGTACATTAGGCAGTAACTAGGTTACCCCATAGATACAAACCAAGTCAATTGGATTGCACATGCCTACAAAGGCAAAGTACCTACCAAAGGAAAAGGATATAAACAACAAAAGACCTAAACCCTGTATGAAATGATTACAACATCTTGGTTGCCTGTCAGTGTTCATTTGAATCATAATTGACCCTTAGAAATCTAGAGAGTGGGACATAGACTGTGGTATTAATGGAGCAACTGGCTATTTGTGATTTAAAAAACAACAGAGGGACTTTTTTTTAAGTTACCATGGATTTAGAAGTAAAATAGGAAAATAAGACAGTGGGAAGGGCATGGGACTTTATCCTATGAGGATCAAAAGCAGGATATACACCTTAACACTGTCACCTCAATCTTGTCATAAGACATTGCTCTTTACAAATATGGCTGCAAATTGTATCAGTTCTCCAATATACTGGTAATGACAACTACGAAAGAGCAGGCTCACAAGAAAACTAAAATGATACTGGATGAGGATTCAAGGGTAATCCTTTGTTGTATTTTGTAATTATTCTATGACAAATGCTACATTGCTTTTACAATTTAAAAGTTGAAAGAGTACTCACTAGACACTATGGGGGAAATTAACTATACAACTTGTGGGAGGGGACAGGAGGGAAAAACTGGGAGAGAAAGAGGGAAGGGAAGACATTTTCCATTGTACAAAAAGAAATGTACTCATTATATACCATAGCTAAGATATGGAACCAACCCAGATGCCCCCCCAGTAGAGGAATGGATCAAGAAAATGTGGTATATATACACAACAGAAATCTATGCTTCCATCAGAAAGAATGACACTGCCCCATTCTTAAGGAAATGGAAAAAACATTATGTGAAGTACGCCGCACTCAAAGAAACATAGATCCCATGGTTTCCCTCATTTGTAATAATTAGTATATGTCTAGGATAATCCTAGTAGATGAGCAGATTATCTCAATAGCTGGGGCTGGGAAGGTGGTTCAGTGGTAGAGCGCTTGTCTTGCATGCTCGAGGTCCTGGATTCGATTCCTCAGCACCACATAAGCAAAAAGAAAAAAGCCAGAAGTGGTGCTGTGGCTCAAGTGGTATAGCTGAGGGACAGCGCCCAGGCCCAGAGTTCAGGGTCCATGACCGGACCCAAAAAAAAAAAGGATATCTCAATAGCTATGTCCATATGACAATATAAGATGATGCTAATCTAAATGAACTCCAAGACATGGACACAAGAGGTTTTTCTTTGTTGTTGTTGTTGTTATTTTTAATGTACTATGTGATCTCTTTTTTCTTTTGTGTTTTTCCAAATGGTTTATCCATATGGCTGTCACTGTATTTGATTTTGTTACCTTGGATATGGTACATATGTTTATGGATACTGTATATATATTTAAATTGGGGAAAGGAAGGAGAACAACAAAATGGTGAGACAAAGGACAAAGGGGGAACAGCGATACTCACAAGACAACATGTTGGGAATGAACTGTACAATTTTGAGGGGGGGCAGGGAAGGAGGGTAAGTAAGAGAAAAATCAGGGAGTGGGTAACAAGTTTGACATGAAAAGTACTCACTACCTTACATAACTGCAACCCCTCTGTATATCATCATGACAGTAAAATTAAATTAAAAAAACTAAAACAAAAAAGAAAAAAGAAATGTACTCACTACCTGTAATTGTAGCCCCTCTGTGTATCACCTTTATAATAACATTTTTAAAAACTTGAAAGATAACATTCATTAGGTGTAAAAAAATCAAATTCTCCAATTATAGCCTCATGTGAATTTTGAATGTCCTCTTTTTCTTTTTTGTTTGCTCTTTGTTCTTATGAGATGGCATCCTGTTGTGTATCTGAGGCTAGTCTCAAATATATCACAGCCCAGGTTGGCCTCAAACTTACAATCCTCCTGTTTTAGCATCCAGAGTTCTAGAATTCCTAATGGACACTACCATGCCTAAGTTGATGATCCTGGTTTCTGGTGGCAAGCTCCGATGCAAGTATTACTGCATTTCCAGTAACTTCCCCAAATTCTATTCTAATTTCAATTCCAAGCTATTATTAGGACAGAAGTACAATTTGAATTATAAGAGAGAACAAAAATAATTTCAAAAGAGAGAACCAAAAAAGTATAGAGAAGACTTAGTTGTGAATAGCTCTGGACATCCAAGTATATAAGTAATAGCGAAGAGCGAAGGGTACGAAAGGAAGGGAAATATGCTAAATGCAATGTTCTCATTTATAAATGCAATTGGGAAAAGGAAGAAATTTCTTCCTCCTGGTATCCTGTAGCACAGGACTCCCTCCCTCCCTGCCCCCGCCCCCCGCCAAACCTCCATCTAATACTCCTAGAAAAGGGGTGCTCATAGGGAAGCCCAAGACATTGCTTTCCATTTCCTTCTCATTTCAAGATGTATCCTTAAGAGAGTGCCTGGAATAATAGTGAGGTGGGAATGGGAGGACTCAAACTCTGTACTCTCCTCTCATGCCCAACATAAAGGGTGTGTTTTACTTGATTTCTATATAAGACTTCTAATAGGACCCGTTGCAACAATGAGAAGTACAAGTTGTCATGTCGAAAATGAACTTTACAACTTTGGGGGGTGAAGGATTGGATGGGGGGGCGGGGGGAGGCTGGGAAGGGATGGGAAGGGGAAACAAAGGAGGAGGCTAAAATGCTTGATAAGAAATGTACTCATTATCTTGCCCATGTAATTGTAACTCCTCTGTATAGTATTTTCACAATAAAAAATAAAGAAAGAAAGAAAAAAAGAAAGACTTCTAATAAAGACTGCTTCTTTTTTTCCTATATCCATACTGGGGCTTGAATTCAGGGCCTTGCGTAATTGCTTGGCTCCTTAACTCAAGAACAGCACTCTACCACTTTAGCTCCTGCTTCACTTCCACATTTATTGGAAATAAGAGTTTCACAGACTTTCCTGCCCAGGCTGGCTTTGACACATGATCATTAGATCTCAGCCTCCTGAGCAGCTAGGATTATAGGTGTGAACCACAAGTGACTGATGAAGCTTGCTTTTAAACAAGGACATGTGCAGGGTGCGGCTAAAGTATAAAACTTAACTCATTTTGGGCTGGGAAGGTGGTTCAGTGGAAGAGCGCTTGCCTTGCATGCATGAGGCCCTGGGTTCGATTCCTCAGTACCACATAAGAAAAAAGAAAAAAGCCAGAAGTGGCGCTGTGGCTCAAGTGGTAAATCACTAGCCTTGAGCTGAAGAGCTGAGGGATAGCGCCCAGGCCTAGAGCTCAGGCCCCATGACCGGACACCCCCCCCAAAAAAAAACTTATTTTAATTGAAAAACAATACAAAATAGAATATATATATGTATATATAATACTACAGTACATAATTAAAAGTGTCTTACATTCAAAAAGTGCTTAAAACTATATGATGGGTATCGATCAGCATCATCTCTACTTTCAACACGTCTTTTGCAAAAAATAATGGCTTTTTCATATAAGAAAAGATGCCGTTGCATTGGTTTGAATCTTGCAAAATCCTTCATCTTTGTAGCACCTTTCCGGTGTCCTGTCCAAACGCTAAATCCACCTTGGATTATCATCTTGCCCAGTTCATTTAAGTTTCCCTAGAATGGAAAAATCAAAATCCATAAGTAATACAAAGCGCAGCTATATTTAGATCTCTGACATTAACCATTTTAAAGTCTTGCTTGACCTACTAAAACCCTGAAGTATAATTTGCATTTTTTAAATGCAATCCATTACAACTTTTTATGCTACAACATGCCATGAATCACATTATGCAGAAAATTGCTGTAGGCGTGGGGCCTAAAAGCAATCGCTTTTTCCTTAACTTCATACTGTCTCCATGTGGAGATAATTCAGCTATGATAACCTACCCCATCTCTGCCTGATTGCACCTGATTGAAGCATGACATGTGTCAGGCCACGAATCAGATTTGAACCTTTTCTTCCATCTCTATGGTAGACTAGGGTAAGCAGGAATTCTGGGACAGTATGTCGGCTTAGCTGACCCACATACTCCTTTGAGCTACATCTCCTTAGAGCTCAACTTGGGAGCAGCTGTGAAGATGAGGAGAATGCCATAAATCTATTTGGCTCCTCATCTGAAGCCAACTTTCCATTTAGCATTAGTAGTTATAATACATATATTTTGATCTTCACTTATCTGCCTGTTATATATGTTATTTCTCAATTGATTCTAGGATTGGTAAGAAAGGGACGTTAACATACTTAGCACTGACACTCCAATAATAATTAAAACTGACTTACAATATAGCCATTTATTGCAATCTGATGCATGGAATCATTCACTGACTTCAGTAAATCCAGCATGGTATCAACAGCCTCCTTTAATTGAGCAGATCCTTCACCATCTTGGCTGTATTTTAATAGCTCCTGAAATTATAAGTCATGAATGAAACTTAATATTTGGTAAATTTTAAAAGAGTTTAAGAAAAATAACAAATGTGGGGGAAAACATGCTTTCAAGGAGGAATCCAAGCATAAATGTCACTTGTGGGAGTCATTCCTGTCATATGCTCTTTGAAATATTATTAACATGCTTAATAACTGTCAAAATTGGACAGGCAATAAACAGAATAGTAATTGAACAGTATAAGTCAATGGGCATTCAATGCTTTTCAAGCTGAAAAACAACAGCTATTAAGACAAATTAGATTATTGGGAGATGGAGGCAAGAGGATCTTGAATAGAGGACTTACATGCTTGATTCCTAAGGTTTAACATTAATGCCCCCCCCCACACACACACACACTAACACATTAGAGATTAGTTATTAAAGCAATTATGCACGATTTTCTACTGTATATCCAGTAATTTGTGTAATTTTGATGCATGCAGTATATAATATTGGGAAAGACACAGTAAAACAAGCTATGGTATATGTATAGTCAATACAGTGTTTTAGGAATATTTCATATTACACTGGGAGGTTATCATTTGCAATATTCATGGAGAAGGCCATGAATATTGAGATTATATGATCTCAAAACCAAGAAATATTTACTTCGATCTTCTTAGCAATATGAAAACTTCTTTTGCGAAGAAACCTTCAGCATAAATCCATGCAACCTGTATGGAGAGCTATATAGCTTAGCTCTCCAGATATTCTCAGACTGACATCTATGCTTACATCATGTGGCAGCCACCATAACAGAAAGGAGAATACTGTACAAATCCTGCTGCAAACTCCAACCTTCCCTCTCCTGAAGCTTATGTCTATTGTTTCTTACTACACAACTTCCTTTTTAATGGCTTTGTCCCATTAGACAAAAAACTAAAACAAAATAAAGAAGGAAGGAAAGAAGAAGAGAAAAGAAGATAGAAATGCTTCCGGTAATTACCTTTAAAAGTAACTGATATTTAGTGATACGCTGCACTGGTTTGAGTAAATAGGAATCCAGACCAAGTCGGTGTTTTAATTTTCTTTGACATTCCTGTCATGAAAGAATAATTATCAATTGATTTAAATTTTTGAATTTAAACATGTTACCTGTAAAAATGCCATGTATTCATTGATTAGACCCAATGCATGAATATTTCTTACATCTAAATGAACATATATTGGAAAAAATAGCTGTATCAAGGGGTTTCAATTCAACATATTGATTTATGAGTACAATATATGGTGGTCTATGTCACTTCTTCCATTGTTCTTTCCTATATCTCCCAACTCCTCCCCCCCCCCATCCTCTCAAGTTACCTAGTTCCATGTTCTACTTGTGACTACTTGTGTAGTCAGGAACAATGGAGGTCAAGGGGAAAGTATACATACACATGAAAAAAAGGGTGAGCAAATACAGCATCATGTTCAATGTATATATGTGAAAACAGAAATCATTCTTACAGAAACTATAAGATACAATATATCTGGAAAAAGTAATAGTCAACAGAATCTCAAAGTATTTCAAGAGGTAGTAAAGTAGGTTAGTGTCTAAGAAAGTATTTCAAGAGGTAGAAAATTCTAAATTCAAAGATTGAAAAGTTTTCACAAATCAATCTATGTGGATGTAAAATGCAGAAAAGTGACAAAGCAAAACCTGACAAGAGATGAGCTGGATCAAGGTCTTCAGTCTATCCAAAAACATTAACAGACGATTCTACAGGCAAGGCTGAGAGACAAAATAGATTGTGCTAAATATAAACCACACCAGATATGACAACAGATTTTTTTTTAGGTGACAAGAAAAATAGAGCTCTTGTAGAATGGTGCTTATTTTATTCAGTACTTGGCTCATTGCCACTATAAACACAAAGGCCAAGACATTAGGTCCCGGGAACATCACAAGGTTCATAATTAGGACATGGAGGGAATGGTACGATGAAATGTACATCTAAATGAACATTATGAGAAATGTATGAACACATGAGAAGTGTCTAGAGAAAATTAAATATAGAACCTAATTTAAATAAAATGGTAGTCTGATGCATGCATTTATATCTTGTCATTTAGGAAACCCAAGTAAAATGATGGAAATGCTTTTCTTCATGAAGCAAAATCCAAAGAGGAGAAAATACTGATGAAATTTGGAAACTGAAAACCGTATCCAAGAGTGAAAAACAAGGGTTGGAGACATGGTTCTGTTGGGAGAGCACTAGCCAATGAGCAAAAGCATCAGGTACGAACTTCAAGTCTTGGTTTCAGACCAAAAAAAAAAGGAGTGGTAAACCACTAAACACAGTGGAGAAAATGAGTTTCATATTGACAAAGGGAAAAGCGAAAGGAAAGGACAGCTCTCAATTATTGCCGTAGAACATCCCCTTACTTATGTCACTGTAACCCCTCCATACGTCACTTTGACAATAAAAAAAAACAAAAAACCCTTTCCCTCTTGAAACACTCAGGAATTCGAGATATCCAGTACCTCTGAAAGTCAGAGGTAAATGCCACATGAATACATTTATTGTTGCAGATGTAAAACAGTACTGCCCGTTTGGAAAACAGTTCAACAGTTCCTTTAACATAAGCATATGAACCAGGAGCCAGTGGCTCACACTTGTAACCCTAGCTACCCAGGAGGCTGAGATCTGAGGATCGCGGTTCAAAGCCAGCCCGGGCAAGAATGTCCGTGAGACTCTTATCTCCAATAAACCACTAGAAAACGGGAAGTGGCGCTGTGGCTCAAGCAGTACAACACTTGCCTTGAGCTGAAGAGCTGAGAGACAGCGCCCAAGCCCAGAGTTCAAGCCCCACGACTGACCAAAAAAAAAAAAAAAAAAAAGCATATGACCAGCAATTTTACTCCTAAGTATGTAGCCAAGAGATGAAAATACATGTCCACAGAAAAGCTTGCACAAAATCTTTCATAGCAGTGTAATGTACCCAAGTGTTCATGAAGTCATGATTGCCATAAAACAAATAGTGAGACATGCCACATGGGTAAAGGTCAAAACCACGAGTTAAATTTCAGAAGTCAACTCAGCGCTGGTGGCTCACACCTGTAATCCTAGCAACTCAGGAGGCTGAGATCTGAAGATTATAGTTTGAAGTCAGCTGAGGCAGGAAAGTCAGTAGGACTCTTATCTCCAATAAAATACTCAGAAGAGGTCAGAAGTGGCTCTGTGGTTCAAGTGGTAGAAGCACTAGCTTTGCGCACAATGAGGCTCAGGAACAGCACCCAGACCTTGAGTTCAAGCCTCAGGACTGGCACCAAAATAAGTAGATAAATAAATTTCAGAAGTCAAACCCAAAAGAAAACATATTGTCTGTTTCCGCTTGTAAGAAATGTCCACACTAGGCCATTCTATACAGACAAAGAAAGCAGGTTAGTGGTATAGAGTGCAACAGGGATAGGAGGGGTGGACTGATTGCTAAAAGGTATAGGAAAACTACATTTTTGTGGCAAAAATCTCCCAAAATTGAATCGTTTAATAAATACAGAAATGATTACACGTCTATGTGGCCATGGGATATGGGGCAATGAAAAAGCTAAATTTTCACATTCCATGGAAGGAAGGAAAAAGATAAACATGCTATTTGGAGATACGGAGGCAAATATTTTTAAAAGAAACTGAATAGTCGTGTCCTCTGGGGAACTGCAAATACATGTTTATACACATTTGTGTGTGTGTGTGTGTGTGTGTGTGTGTGTGTGTGTGAAAGAAAGAGAGTTTCAGAGAGGACACAGTTGCTCTTTCACTAATACATAACCTACTCAAAGCAGAAAATGAAGTTACGAACAAGAAGTATTCTAATATCTTCTCAAAAGTATATTTAATACTTGAATAATTACTATACCTGGAAAAAGGCACATTCTGAGTACTTCTTCCAAATTATCTCTGATCTGGGCTTATTCTGACAATATTTTGCATACATCTGAAAATCATCCTTCTGGGATAGAGAACAGATTTGCACACATTACTGATTTGTGGATACAAACATTTGTTATGAAACAAGCATGAGCAGGACAGTGTCAGGCCAAGTATTACAGAAAATATGATATGCAGTATTTATACTCTAACAACAGCACATCCATTTGACTTGGTGGCAGGACACAGAATTACACAAGCAAATCAAAGAATCTCTACTGAGCAAGCTTACGAAGTAAAGGGAGGAGAGCCTATGCTGTTTGAGCTACCCCCACAAAAATTCGTACCTATGCGCTAGTTGGTACTGAAAAATATGCTTTTTTATGCAAGTAGACTCTCAGATCTCTAATGAAGGAATTTATAACTGACTTCCAAGTCATAACCTGTGGCCCATGATTCATACTGGGGACATCATCACTGCTTCATACACATGTAGGCATCTACTTATGTAACTTGCCCTCTCAAATAATTGTCCCCTAACCCTCAACTACTGGGCTATCTTCTCATTTTCTACCATGCATCCCATGAGTCACTGCTTCAATAATAAGGCTACAGTCAACTTCATCATGTCATCTTTTGGGTTCCCAGGAAACACCGTTTATAATATAGTGCAACTCATCACCTACACAATTAATGTTACTTGAGTTTTTTTGGTTTTACCTGAATGACCTTTGGCTTGGTATCCACATTGCTAGGATAGTGCTTAGTACATAGTAGGGGTTCAGCAGATGTCTACAGCCACTACTAGTTGCCAAGAACTCTGCTAACCATATGAGAGCTATAACGACATATAAGATATAGACTCTGCCTCACAGTGTCTCAAGTTGAGGAGACAAAAGATGTAGGCATATAAAGAAGCACAGTCTACATTGGAGATCTAATGAATAACATGGTCTTTATACATTAGTTGCTTAAGCAAAGGTAGACAACTGTTCCGTGAAGAAGTTAGGGAAGAATTGGTGTGTAATGCAAATGTATTACGAACATGTTTAGAAAAAAAATGACAGTTCTTTCTTAGCTTTATCCTCTTCTTAATTGGTAAACACTTTATGGATTACCTATATTTGAATTTTTCAACAATCACCTCTATCCAATTGGCTCCAAGATCAAGACAGGGCTGCTCTTTGAGGAAGATGAGGAACTAGATAGCAGAAAATAGAATGTGTGTGTGTGTGTATTGAGTTCAGGCACTATGGTACACACCTGTAATCCTAGTATTTGGGAGATGAGGGCAGAAAGATCTTGAGTTCAAGGCCAATCTGAAGCAAGAAACTGTCTCCAAAAACTAATCTTCTGAGAGGAGGACAATCACTAAGCTGGGAAATTAATTATACTAAGCATACTCTTGGGAGTGGTAAGCCTGCATGAGTGATTTTATTGACTAAAGGAAAGCTCTGTTCACGAAGCTCCGGGAAATAGACACTCATGCTCTGGCTGCAATTCTAAGATTTTACACATATTTTAGTACCTGTTGGAATTGATGTTCCTTCTCTAAAACTGAAACATTAAGAAAAAAACTTAGCTTATTCTTACGAAGAAGTTTGGTGACCTATATTTACCTAATTAAAAAATAATAATTAAGTAAGAACTGGTGGCTCATGCCTGTAATCCTAGCTACCCAGGAGGCTGAGATCTGAGGATTGTAGTTCAAAGCCAGCCCGGGCAGGAAAGTCTGTGAGATGCCAATCTCCAATTAAACACCAGTAAACTGAAAGTGGAGCTGTGACTCAGGTGATAGAGTGCTAACTCAGTGCCCAGGCACTGAGTTCAAGTCCCAAGACCAGCAATAATAATAATAACAATAACAATAGCAATAGCAATAAAGTAATAATAATTAAACTAACCCTTTCCAGGAAACAAGATCCCACTCTTTCTGGAGCATGAGAGCAATTTTCCAAGCTGCTCATGAATATGCTGTGAAATTTTCAAGAAAAAAAATATTTATGTGAAATATAGTCAATCAGGACTTTAAAATATCATGAAAATTTTAATTCAACAATGACATACTTGTTATGGAATTCATATATTTCTGCCATATTTCCAAAGAGGATGTCCTTTTTGTTTCTCAGAAGAGGTGGCATAAGAGCAAACATGTCTGGATTATCCATTTCCGCTCTATAGCCCTACTCAAAATAAATACATACTTATGCATTTAAAAATATTTACATTTAACATTCTGTTATGCCAACAAAAGTACAGGTACAATCCCTGAATAAAGGATTCAATGGTGAAGCTCATTGAATTTTTAAATATTCAGATCTTCTAGTGCTTAATGTGAAACCCATGACATGTTTTTAAAAGGCAGAATGATCCAATAGGAGGTTTTCTACTTGAAAGAAACAATAAAATGGCAGGTTTTTGGCTGGGCACCAATAGCTCATGCCAGCTACTCAGGAGGCTGAGATCTGGGGACCATGGTTCAAAGGCAGTCCAGGCAGGAAAGTGTGTGACTCTTATCTCCAATTAACCAGAAAAAAAAAGCTGAAAATCGAGCAGTGATTCAAGTGGTAGAGCACTAGCTTTGAATGAAAAAAGAGAAGAAACAGAGCCTAGGCCCTCAATTCAAGCTCCAGTACCACGTTGTCAGTTCATGCCATAGCACCAGCACAAAAACCCTTGACTATCAAGGTGTTTTGTTTTTTTTTTAACCAGGTTGGAAACACTAAGTCTAAAAATTACCTATAGGCCATCAACTTCTTACATTCAGTTTTTCATTAAATTATAATTGATTGGGATTTTTCAGACTAAATATCATGCCATTTGTAACAAGTGAGCATTTTTATCCCACTTTGTTCTTTACATTATAATCTCTAAATAGCAACATGGAAATAATTTTAACAATCTAGTGTATTCCTAGAACAAGCTTCTCAAATTCTAAATCAACCATTCCCACTACACACCAAGAATATTTATTTATTTATTTATGCACTTAAAACACAGTCTCTCAAACAATAGAAACAATACCCATAACTGTCCTTCGATTGAAATAGAAAATTGCCTGAAACATTTCTAATGAATGTAGTGAGGGACATTCAGGAGAATGAAAAAAAAATATACAATTTGCATCACTCACCAATAAAACAGTAAATAGTTCTCGAACATACACCTTCTCAGTCTGTATCAGCTCATTTAGAACATGGCTAAAATGAAAAGAATACATATTAATTCCTATCGTAGTTCAGAATCTCACAATGTTTCAATGATTTTCATTGTAAGTTATTTAGGGTAAAAATACTTAATGCATAGCAACTACCAGTGTTTTTATTTTTGGCACCAAGATATGAAACTAATTTTGTAGTTGTTAGATAAGTACCACCTACAAATACTAAAGTATATTTAAAAGAAAAGGAGTTGCTCAGTCGTTATTAACTTTAAACTTATTTCTAATAGGGTGCTGGCGGTTCACACCTGAACTCTGAGAATCACAGCTTTGAAGATAGCCTGTGTAGATAAAACCAAGAGACTCCTAAATTCCAAGGAACCACTAAAAGGCCAAAAATGGATAAGAGCCAGCCTCAAAGAAGTCAAGTGAAAGCATAAGGCCCTGACTTCAAGCTTCTATCACAGCACCCAAAATATTTCTAAGTCTCTTAGATTAAAAATTAATTTGCTAAAAACTTACACAATATATGTCTAAATATCTGAGGCTTTATTTATCAATTGATGGGTTAACATAGCAAAAATATTTTCTAACTTACTGATTCAAAACTAATTTTTCTTATTTATTATTAATATAGTCTATTTCTATTTTATTAAATTATATTAAAATTATATTCTATTATATTAAAATATATTTCTAAATGGCCAAGGTGCTTTTTATTCATTTATTTGTTTATATTTGTTTCTGAGTTTAGTAGCCTCTCTTCCCATTTTTGACACACCAATTTTCCTTGCTCATAGTAATTTTCTGAATTTTTCTAAGACATTATATTTATTATACTAGTTTCATGTGTAGATTGTAAATTATATTTCTACAGTAAGTTACTCTAGTAACTTTGAAAAAATAAATATATTATCCTTTCAATGTGATTTCCAATTGACATGATGACTTAAAATTTACTTCCCTTCTTTAATGTAAGTAATCTAACTGATTCAACTTCTATCTTCCACACTTCTTTCTCTTTTTGTTTTGTTTTTCATTTAAGTCATTTAACAATTAAAAGTCTTTGAGCACATATATCTCCATGTGACATGCTTTAAACTAATGGAAACAAAATGGTGGTGTGGAATTTAAATGTGATTATTCTGAAGGCTAGAATATTATCAAATTGGGAAAGTTACCACAGCAATCATTTCTCTTAACATCTACAAAATTGCATCCCTATAATATAGATTTTGATGAACTGTTTCCTTTTTGCTTCTTTTATAAAAGAAAAGATACTGTAGCCAAAGGGTATAACATCTCTTTCCAAGCATTCATAAATTGAATCAGTTTTGGGAATCCAATGTAAAGCATGGTGGTTATAGGTAATAATACTGTATTATATACTGGAAATTTGTTCACAAAATAGATCTTAATTCTTACCAAAAAGAAAAAAGAACTATATTATGTGAAAGATGTTTAAATTAACTTGATTATGGTAATCACAACATATTCTTGTTCTATCAATGTGTATTTTAAATTATCTGTCATAGTAATTGTGTTTCAATTATATTAATGTATGCATTTATGTATCTTACATTATCAGTATATTACATTCTCAATTATATTTCAATAAAGATTAAAAATAGCTTTAAAAGTCCTTTCACTTTCCTTTCTAATCTCAAAAAAAAGAGAGATGTAAATTCTGAAAAGGTCTTCTTAATTTTCCTTAAATCACATAAACAGACTACATCTTAATTTGGCCTCAAAATAGAACTTTTGATACCTAAATTAGTGTTTTAGAACCCTAATCTGTGAGCTTAAAATCAGAGTATATTTGTCTTGAAGACTGAACTTCCAACATGGAGATGTATGTATAAGTTTGCATTAAGAAACAAAAGATACTTCTTTAAAATATCCAAGCCATTATCACTGTCCAAATTGGAAGATGGACCACAGTTGCTCTTCTGACAATCATAATCCTCATCATCCTGAAATAATAAAAGTGAAGTTAAAATAGTATCCATATAGTAGTAATTATTCTTCAAGAACCTCAAGTCAAATTAAGTTCACTCTATATTCTAACTCTGGGACAAATGGAAAAATAACTGTGTAGATATAGGTTTTTTAAAAGACTTTGATATACATAGTAGTAAAGTAAGTACACTTAGTTACCACTATGGACATGATCAAAAAACACTAATTGAAGTTCATTTTATATATTTTCATTTGTTTGAAATGTGTCAGAAATGAAGTTCATTCATAACAAGCTGACTTTCACCTGGTGCCGGTGGCTCATGCCTGTAATACTAGCTACTCAGGAGGCTGAGATCAGAGGATCACGGTTGAAAGCCAGCCTGGACAGGAATGTCCATGAGACTCTTATCTCCAATAAAGTACTCAGAAAAGGTTGGAAGTGGCACTGTGGCTCAAGTGGTAGGGTGCTAGCCTTGAGCAAAAAAAGCTCAGGGACAGTGCCCAAGGCCTGAGTTCAAGCCCCAGGCCCGTAAGGGGGGCGAGGGAGAGAAGAAAAAGTTGACTTTCCAGATAACTAAAGTTTATTCAGAGGAGAACCAAAATAGCTTTCATGATTTTTTTTACAGAAATTCTTCTAAAAAATAATTACATGCAACCTTGAATTATTTAAGCAAGGAGAAACAACATAATTTATCCTTTTCATAATGACTTGGCGGTATCACCATACACTTGAATATGATCAAATCTAATGCTTCTTTCCAAGACTAGTAAGATGTGACAAACGTTCTATTCTTTCTTAAAATGGCTGTGACAACCCATTCATCATAATGTTAGGAATCATGAGCTGAAACTAGTACTGAAAGACATGTTAAAACTATGGAATCGGGCACTTGTCTCTTTCCTTCTTTAAATTAGATATACAACATGATAACCAGGCCTTTGAAAGCAATGTAGGCAATTCACTAGCCTGCTAATTATATATATATATATATATATATATATATATATATATGTCATAGGCCACACATTGGTTCAAAGTGCTTCACAATATTCAATTACTTTTCCCTCTATATAAACAAGGAAACTAAGATCCAGAGGACTTTTCCAATGTTATACAGTAAGTGATGGAACTTGCCTTAAAAGCCAGTCTAGTTAAAATGGTATACTCTATTGCATCTTAGAGATTTTTTCTTCTCCTACTCTACCATTAAGAACAACTAAAGAGCATATACAATCTGGCAGCTGTGATGATATTCTCTGCTGGGACCAGCCTATCATGGGTAAGTGAGAAGAAAGGTGTCTTAGACATCTGTCTACTTATCCTCTAGGATACTTCTAGTTCCTCCAATGGCTGCCTGAAACCACAGGTAGTTAGTACTGAACCTTCTATGAACTAAAATGTTTTCTTATATACATGTAGCTGTGATAGCATTTCATATATATATGGATATATATCTATCAAAGAGTATAAGAGATTAACAATAAGTCATAATACAAAACATTTACAACTATATACTGTAATTGTTAGGACAATGTGTGCCCTTTGTCCCTTCCTTCCTTCCTTCTTTTTTGTCTTCTTCCCTTCGGCCCTCCTCCTCCACTTCCTCCTCTTTCCTCTCTTTCTCTCTCATTTTCTATTAATATTTTTGGATGACAGTTGACTGCGGGTAGCAGAAAAGGAAAAGGAAACTATATAACAGGAGACGAATGGACCTCTTTCCTGAGCCCAGAGTACTGAAGACTTTGCCTGGTCTCTTAGAACCTGACTTCTGCCTCTGCTTCACAGTTGTAGGATAGGAATCACTCATGAAAGAAAGTTCCTTTCATGAAATGGGGTGGTATTATTTGGGTTTATGCAAGTTAGGGGAGGGATGACAAGAGAAGCTAGAACTTCTATGCCGTTTTCTACAGAAATGGTTCTGAGCTCAAGCAGGACTTGATCAATGATGCAAGCATGCACGCCTCACTCTACCAGAACTGAAATTAGACACCAATTCAGCAGCAGTTCTATTTGGCTTTTTCTTTAACATGAATTCAGCTTTCAAATGCAGTCTAATGAAAAAATTACAATTAAGCCCCATGCTAATTCTGCAATGACTACAAGGTCAATTTTGCTGGGTGCCAGTGGCTCACGCCTGTAATTCTAGCTACTCAGGAGGCTGAGATCTGGGGATCTTGGTTCAAAGCCAACCCAAGCAGGAAAGTCTGTGAAACTCTTATCTCCAATTAACCACCAGAAAACTAGATGTGACGCTGTGGCTCAAGTGGTAGAGTGCTTGCCTTGAGCTGAAGAGCTCAGGGATAGCGCCCACACCCAGAGTTCAACCCCCATGACTGACCCCCAAAAAAGGTCAATTTTGAATTAAGTAATGATATTTACTTTTGCACTGCTGTGATTCGGTCTCCAAGTCTTCTTCCCTGGTAGAGGAATATGAACGGAGAATTTTAAACCAGAATTAAACTCCACATTTTTTTTAATGAAAGCACATGCATATTGATGAGATAATTAGAGTTAATATTCTAGCCTGTTTATAATAGTTATTTTTAAATCATACTACTGAAGACAGTGATTGGTTAGAATCATCTATATAGTTTCTATTTCTTTGCTCCTGGTTCACCTAGCCTCTCATTCTCAGGCATCAAACACTTACTTCTTGGCACACTGGGAACCTGGTTTTAGTACTCACAAGTGTTTGCAGGTTTAGTGCCCATTCTCACACATAAGCATTTAGGTGAATTGTACCTCACTGATTAACTAGATCAAAGGTTTTTTTTTAAGTCCAATTTAACCTAATAATTAGAGCCTCCAATATTTATTTGGCACTATATACTATATATATATATACTATATAATTAAGCCCTATGAATATGTTTTGTTTAACCTTCAGTATCTACTGAAAAATGTACATAATTGTTATTCCCATTTTATAAAGAAAGAACCAAGGTTAAGCTCAAGAAGCACAGGAAGTATTGAAATCCATATGGTTTACCATCAAAATACATGTCACTAACCACTATATAACCCAAAACATGCTAGACTACCCCAAAAATCCTTCATCAAAATTAAAGATTTAAGCCAGGCACCAGAGCTCATGTCTGTAATCCTACCTACTTAGGAGGCAAAGATCTGAGTATCATGGTTCAAAGCCAGCCCAGCCAGGAAAGTCTGTGAGTCTCTTATCCCTTATAAGAGACTGGAAAACAGGAAGTGACACTATGGTTCAAAGTGGTAGAACACTAGCCAGGAGCAAAAAAAAGCTCGGGGACAGTGCTCAGGCCTTGAGTTCAAGGCCTGACTGACAAAAATAAAATTTAAAGGTTTAATTTTTATATTTAAACATGTTCAATTCTCACATAGTGAGCCTCTGTATTATTACAAAAGAAGCCCAATGTTCCTAAAAAGCAAAGGGCATGAGCCAATCAAGGAACGTATTGAGGGCTGGGAAGGTGGCTCAGTGGTAGAGCGCTTGCCTTGCATGCACGAGGCCCTGTGTTCGATTCCTCAGCACCACATAAGCAAAAAAGAAAAAAGCCAGAAGTGGGAAGTGGTGCTGTGGCAAGTGGTAGAGCACTAGCCTTGAGCTGAAGAGCTGAGGGACAGTGCCCAGGCCCAGAGTTCAGGCCCCACAACTGGACCCCCCCCCAAAAAAAAGGAACGTATTGACTTCCTAATCACCAAGGCAGCTGGCAATTGATCACTCAGGCTACATGAATCCTCCCTCTGCCCAGACAAATGCGCTGGTGTCAGGAACACCAAGGGAAAGGATGGGGCAGTACATTGTCTAGGCTGTCTATTGCATTTTTCATTATTAAAACATGTATGTATGTATGTATGCATGCATGTATGTATGTATGTATGTATGAACTCTTAATTTTTATAGCCATGTATAAATATGGGAAATATCATAGTGGGAAATATTCAAAAGCATTTTCTCAATAAATACTAATGTGTTCCACATTAGAGCCCTAAAATACAGAGCTCTACTTATTTGTGAAGGTAGATTAGGAAATAATTCCTATTTCTATTAACTAATTCTTTGAGTATACATTATGAGACACAAAACAAATACATATATAACATAGGAGGAACATACCTTTTTTCTGAAAAGCAATGCAGTTTTATATTCATTCAATAATATAGACACATAGAAAATGATTGCCCACTTTGTCAATCTCTGTATTTAGGTTTATACAAAGATGACCTGCACATAGTCCCTGACCTTGTAGAATTTCCAAGTCTAGCAGGCAAACAGATGTTACTAAAGCTGAGAAGAAGCAGGGAGGCTTGTTGTCACACAGTGTGAACATGCATGTGAATAGGGCTGCAGCAGATGAGACGGGAGGAACAGATTTATCTGAAAGACGTGACCAATAGATAGCAAACATCATGGTGAAGGAGCAGCTAGTAATGGGGCAAGGTCAGTGAGGAAAGAGGATTCCAGAGACACCAGTAAGATAAAGTAAGATGGTTAGGAAAAGTGAGCAAAGACAATGAGGCAATAGGGAGACTGCTACAGTTTGGGGGGCTACTGATGGCATTAACATGTTCTTGAAAACTGGTATTAAGCAATAGGGAGTCGGGAGCTGGTGACTCACATCTGTAATCCTAGTTACTCAAGAGGTTGAGATCTGAGGATCACTTTCGAAGCCAGCCCAGGCAGAAATGTCCCCATGAGACTCTCATCTCTAATGAACCACTGAAAAACCAATGCACCACTCAAACATCAGAAGTGGGGCTGTGGCTCAAAGTGGTAGAATGCTAGCCTTGAGTCAAAGAGCTCAGGGACAGAACCAAGGCCTTGAGTTCAAGCCCCATGACCACCACCACCAACAACAAATGTAGAAATGGGGTCTGGTGCTGGTGGTTCATGATTGTAATTCTAACTAAGGAAGCTGAGATCTGAGAATCATGGTTCAGAGCCAACTCAGGCAGAAAACTATTAATCCCTATAACCAGGAAAAGGCAGAAGTGGAGCTATGGTTCAAGTGGTTGAGTGTCTGTCCTAAGCAAAAAACTAAGCAAGAGTAACTAACAGGCCCTGAGTACTGGTACAAAAAAAAAGTATTGGGAATGGAAAGATAATGTGTAAACTGAGCATGCTGACTCATACCTATAATACCAGTTACTCAGTAGAATAATATAGAACAAACAAAATGTTACTGAGATCTCATCTTAATGAATAAGCTAAGTGCGGTGGCAGGAATCTGTGAGTGAAACTAAACGGTACGCTGCCAGACCAGGCAAAAAACAAGACCTTATCTAAAAAGTAGCTAAAGCAAAAAGAGCTGGGTTATGGCTCAAAAATGACGGCATTCCTGCTAGTAGGCATGATCCCTGACTTCAGATTCTAGGACCTCAAAAAAATTGAACAAGAGAAGTATATGCATATGAGACACACATAGGAGATAAAAATCCACAGGAGACTGGAGATAATTAAAAGTGGGGTAGGAGCCAACAAGAGGAAATGAGTCCCAAGCTTGGGCAATTTGGGCAATTAATTCCAGTAGAAATGAGGAAGATAACAGACAGGATCACCTATTGCACATGTGGGTCTGAAGACAAGAGAAAGGTCTAGACTGCAGATACACATTGGAAATTCACGCTACATCTTACATTTTATTCCTCACTGGCTATATCCCTTCATAATCCTCCGCTAAACTCAAAGTTAATCCAACAAATATATGATACTTCCTGCTGTTTAGCAGGAGCTGTGTTAAGTGAAGGATTCCATTCAATGCAAAGAAAAAGATAACAAAAGAAACAGAACAAAAAAAAAAACAGTTTGACTCATTTTTATGGTAAGTCAACACATGCTTTCATTCTTTTGCTTGTGCTCTATATATTTGGCATAGCAATTAGTCTTTAAAATACTCAAGAGTTAGGGGCTGGGAAGTGGCTCAGTGGTAAAGCGCTTGCCTTGCATGCCTGAGGCCCTGGGTTCAATTCCTCAGCACCACATAAGCAAAAAGAAAAAAAAAAGCCAGAAGTGGTAGAGTGCTAGCCTTGAGCTGAAGAGCTGAGGGACAGCGTCCAGGCCCAGAGTTCAGGCCCCATGACCAGACTAAAATACTTAAGAGCAAATCATGATATAAACCTCACGAATTCACTCACAGCAATGGGGGACAATGAACAAGGCTTGTAAAATAAATAATAGTTTGATTTCCTTTACAAACCATGATGGATAGTGGATAAAACCATTTCTCCATCCATGTCATTTATTCATTAAGCTGCCTTCTTTCTCATAAATACATTAGACACTTTTCAATAGAAGCAAACCCAAGCTTCTCCCAACAAATGGTATAGTAGGAATACAGATGGCCTGAGAGTCTTTAAAATGAATGAAAGCCTGATTGGTTGGAACATCACCACTTGTTTTATTTTGTTTTCTAGTGGTTATTTTATAGAAGATATTGAGCTTGGATGTATAGTCTACTTTTTAGTCATTTTCAACGCTGAAAAAGAACAGATCATTTCTATGAAAGGAAAAAAAATGCCAAACTGTTTTTTCACATGTTCACAAACTCAGAAGTATTGATGAAAAGACATATAATAAAGATGAGTACCTTTTAAAAAAAGTTTACATGCTTGAAAGAAAGAGTATCCAATTCCCACTGCAGAAAGAAAGTGTAAAGCCATTAAATAATGTCCAAAAAAATGACACATAAATAACAGCATATCACAAAATTGGGTGACCAATGACTTCAGCAGGACTTGGACACTGGGCCAGCATCCCAGAGTGAAGAGCTAATCTTTTAAAGGACTTTGAAGAAAGAAGATGTAACACAAGGATAGTTTATTGAGTACTTCTTACAATCTGAAGTTTTTGTCACTTGGTATTCATAACAAATCGCTGAAGTTGGTAGCTATTACTATGAGTATTTTATAGACAGGAGACTAACGTTAGAAGATGTTAAGTGAACATAGCCAAAGGAGTCCAAAATCTAACTTAAAACTGTCTTCTGCTTAAGACTATTAACCTATGCTATGCTTAGTCTCATAGTTGATGGATTTTATTCTCTTAATTTTTGTTGTTGCCATCCTCTTACTAATATTGTTTATATTCCCAGTATATTTTCAATGTACTGTCAATACATTTCTTCCATGGAGTCAACATTATTCATCTTAGGGAGTTTATATTTTGGGGTATATTTAAGTATTCCATTACTACTACAACTTTCATCATCTTAACCTACTTACCTACGTTCATCTCTTTTTAATCAAATCTATGCCATAGATGAGTTGAATTTTTATGCTCAGTATCCCTGGCCCAAGTCTTCTCTGATTTCAAAGCTGATTCTCATACTAGTAAAGTCTCTGATTCTATGTATGGTCAAAAAAAAATAAAACTTGGAGGAGTTGGGGAGGTGGGGAGGAAAGGGATGGTAGGGGAAAAACAAAGGAGGAGGCAACAATGCTTGATAGGAAATGTACTCTACCTTGCTCATGTAATTGTAACCCCTCTCTACAGTATTTTTACAATAAAAATATACATGGAAAAATAATAAAACTTAATCACATCTTCATCCCTTCCACTCACTTAGGACCCCAAAGATCAAATTGCTCTCCCTTAACAGGCCCAAAGGTATCTCAAGAAAACCCATACGATAATAGATCCACCTTATTTTCAGAGTTGTTCCCATGCCATGGTAAGCATACACAAAAGCGACTAAAAACAAATGGAGTTTTTACCAATAAATTACCAACAAAATTATTATTTTCTGCAACACTTATTCAGAAAAAGCAATCCATGCCACTTACTTACCAGAAGCATAAAAAACAAGCAACAGTTTACTAGAGTAGGAATAAATTGTATGTGCAGATATGTGCATATGTGTTTAGCAGTTTCACATACTCTCCTGTCTACTGAAGAAAAATGGGAATTTGATGCTGATAAAGTTTTCACACTCATTTCTCAGGCTAGAATACTCAGGCTTGAGATGGCCTTCACCTTGTATTGTAACATCAATCTGTAATTTTGTTTTTTTGGTGTTTGTTGTTTGTGCTGGTCCTGAGGCTTGAACTCAGAACCTGGGTGCTATCAGCATTTTCTCTCAAGGCTGGCACTGTACTACTTGTGGCACAGCTCCACTTCCAGCTTAATTGGAGATTAGAGTCTTTTAGACTTTTCTGCCCAGACTGGTTTGAAACCATGATCCTCAGATCTCAGTCTGCTGAGTAGCTAGGATTACAGGCATGAGTCACCAGCACCCAGCTTAACAGTTGTTGTTGCTTGATGATACAATACTCCCAAATCTAACTCTTGTTTTGTACAATAGCATTTAAACATGACTAAATATTTTTAAATAAAATCTCAATCTGTTAGGATTAAAGAAAGAATTCAGTATTTCTACCAATTGTAACAAAGTGAAATTATAGCCAGACAATAAGCGATAGAGAGGTGAATATATTTTTACCATGTTTAGATCTGGTCAGATTTTCAGGGCCAGGAACTATAAACTGCATTGACCTTGCATGATTTTGTGTCTGTTTCTTGAATCCCATCTGATGGTTCTCAAACATACTTCGAATATTTTCAAGCTTGAGTTGAACAGTCTGCATTTGAATCTGTTGGTAGCATAAGAATATTTTAGGTCAGACTATGGCACTCAATCAAAAAAGTTAATTTAGAGCTTAAAGCATAACAAGAAGAAAGTTTGGAAAGTAAGAGAAAGCAGATGGATGCACTCTTTTCACATGTAGGCATAGAAAAAAAACATCTCAATGAAAACGTGAAAATTAAAGCAGCAAGCAGTTATGAACTGGGTCACTGCAGGCTATGAGTTGCCCTTGTTGGCTGAGGGGAAAATGTCTGGAGAAATCACATTACTCTTTACTTGGTAGCATCAGAAATCCACTAAGTAAAAAAAAAAAAAAAAAAGTCAGATACATAACATTGTCATAGTGCTTTGCTACATGTTAACCTGCAAGATATTTTCTTCATAGTTCTCCATGTTGTAACCAGTCACTGTTCAGACCCACCACGAATAATTTATCTTCCTGCTCCTTCTAGATGCTTTGAGGAAGTTACAGTGAAGCTTAGTTGCTTCCAGACAATCACATGATTATTGTCACTCTCATGTTCCTAATTTTCTGGATCATTCCGTAGGATCTGTGTATTTAGTTACTGCTCCAATCTCATGACCTACACCTTTCTCCAGCGCACATAATTACAGATGCTCTTGGCTGTAACGGGAACCATTCCTGTGATCCCCAAGGGAGAAGTACTGGATTGCCTATAGTTCTCCACCCTGATCACATCAACTCCTTCCTCCTTTTCCTTCCCTAAGAAGATGCAGATCCTTCTGCTATCCCTTCACCTACCAGGTAGACACCCACAGAACATCTCCAAGTGGCCAGTAGAGCACAAAGGAAAGATGTCTCAGGAGAAGTGCTCTAGCTTTGAGCCCAACATTATAGAAGAGCTTTGGGCCTTTCTCCAAGGATGTCCCAAAAAATATATGTGAGAGCTTAAAATGTGTCTAAAGACTTTGAAGATAATAGAGTTGGAAGTCAAAAATGGAATTACTCTTCATTATACAGCAAGCAGAACCATGCAAATCCTTCAGACTCTTTGGTGACTGACACAGACCCCATGATTATTCCTGATGTTGAAAGAGGATTGTGCACATGCAAGCTGCCACAAAGTCAGCCACAACACTGGAAATTATTACACTACTATAATTATGAGTGTCTGTGTGTGTGTGTGTGTGTGTTGCACCTAGGGCTTGAACACAGGGCCTGCACACTGTCTCTGAGCATTTTTTCTTGAGGCCAGTACTCTCTTATTTGAGTCACAGATCCACTTCTAGCTTTTTTGGTGCTTAATTGGAGATCAGAGTCTCTTGGACTTTCCTTCCCAGGCTGGCTTTGAACCACAATCCTCAGATCTCAGCCTCCTGAATAGGTGTGAGACAGTTGGTGCCTGACTAGAGTTTTAAAAAAAATGTTTGTTTAAATTTGTTGGTTTAAAAAAATTTCTTTGGAAAAACTCAAACACCTCCTACCTTGAGTTCAGGAGATAAAAACACATCAAATTCATACTGTAGGCTTTCAGCATCATAATTGATAAAAGGCAAAGATGACTCAATGAAATTTTTGATATCATCAAGAGCTTTCTGAGCATCTTCTTTAGTCTGAAACCTCTCTGTTTCCTGATTAGCTAGAAGACATTCCCCTTCATCACAGCATTGCCGAGCCTGGTGAGAAACATCAAGAGAAAAGAATCACAAAGAGAAAACACGTTTGCCATTAAAAGAGCAGTCATTAGCCCTCACTTCTGTCCATCGGCATGGCTGCCAGAGCTACTACAAACAATAATTACCTGGGCTGTATAGCACCTGTAATCCTACATGGAGACTGAACCTCGGGCAGAAAGGTTTATGGGCCCCCTTTTCAACCCACAGCTGGGTGCAGTGGTATGTCTTGTCATCCTATGTTATGTGAGATGCTGAAATTGGGAAGATCAAGGATCTAAGCCAGCTTGGACTGACAACATTGAAAAGACTCTATCTCTACAGAGAAAGCCGGACAAGTCACACACAAACAAGCATACAAACAAACACACATACACCTGTGATCTCAGCAGCAATTGGAAGACTAAAAGTAAGTAGATCATGGCTTAGATGCAGATTCAAGAGAGAAAGCAAGACTCTCTAAAACTCACCAGCAATAAACAAGGCTGGAGACATGGTTTGAGCAATAGAGTACTGGCCAAGCACATGCAAAGCCCTGAGTTCAGACCCTAGTATTACCAAAAATAGAAAAAAAATGGGATCTCCCCTCTGCAATTCTGATGGAGTAGCTCTGGGCGGTAAGCCAGACATCAATATTTTACAGGGCTCCACAGGTAGTGCTGATGCACAGCCAAGGTTGGGAAGTGATGCATTGATTTCATAGCAAGTAATTTAATCGGCAGCAGGGGTTCACCCATTTTCTAAACACTAACACTTTTAGTTGCATGTTATTTTCCTCACATCAATGACTGACATCTGGAAGTGCTACCAAAATACAAAGTGTAATATCAATGCTTAACGATGGCCAAGGACGAGAATAAAGATATTTTTAACAGAAAAGAAAAGGTTCATATTAAAATGTTTATCTCCAGATATGATGCTTATAAATGATGTTCCTACTTGCTATTCCATTGCCAGAAGCAGATCTGAGGAATAACCTTCCATTTCATTGCCTAATCGTCAAAGGAGTCAGACTCAGAAGACAGACAGGAATATTTCACAGTCACTTTAATTTTTGGTGCTGTGTTATGAAACCGAAAGGAATTCGAGGCTTTGGCAAAATACCCGAGACTTTGAAAAATTATTATCTTTAATTAGCTGTACATTTCCATTCAACAAAGCAATTTATGAATACAATATACCTTGATCAATGTTACCCCTTTCAACATTCTCATCCATCCCCACACTAGACTTTTAAAAGTGTGCTAGGTGCAAACTATCACTAATAGAGGCTTCAGAGCTATAGTAAAAATAGAAAGTAAGCCATTATCGCCAAGAACATGATATTCACAAGAAATAATTGGACTACAGTGAATCTTCCATGAATACTGCATAGTCTGATTGTCTGTAAAACCATCAGCCATGCACTAATGGTTGACACCATAATCTCAACTACTTGCAAGGCTAAGATCAGAAGATCACTGGTTGAGACTAGCAAAGGCAGAAAAGTTCAAGAGACTCCATCTCCAAGGTAACCAGCCAATCAAGGCTAAAGGCATGACTCCAGTGGTAGAGCATCAGCACTAGCATCTGAAAGCTAAACAGATATAAGGCTCGGAATTCCAACTATACCACCACCACAAAAAGAGAGAAAAACCATAATCAAGCTCAGACCATAAAACCTCTTACAAATTTAAACACAAAAGCTCTATCAGACCCTGACCCCATAAAGTCTGAGAAGATAAAGTGTATGTCACAAAGCACCAGGGCAAGCCATGTCATGCAAGATGGACCTGGGGAGGGAGGAGGGAGGGGAAAGAGGGTGTTGTGTTTTAGAAATACACCATTCCCATCATACTACCTGTTGTAGGAGCTTGTGCATTTTTAGGGTCCTGGTGAGCTGTATTCGCTTCATTTTGATCTCATTAACCAAAACATCAGAGAGGTAACGGAGTTCACTGCACCTCTGGCAAATTAAATCAAGCGCGTAATGGTGATTTGCTGCAAGCTGGTGGCCATGTAATATTACACACCGGGCCTTTGTTACCAGTGCCTAAGATTAAGAAAGAAAGAAATTAGGACTGCATAATCTCTGTTTATATAAATGAGAAAAAGGAAAGAATTAAGAAACAAATTGAGCAGGGGGGGAATATGTGGCCATAGAACTTAGCATCATATCTCTGCAAGTTGCAAAAAAAAAAAAAAGCTTACAGTGGCAATAATTAGCTACAGTAGTGATGATAGTCATCCATCAGAACCTAGCAACAAAAACAAAATTAAACAACTCATCCCACTCAGAATGTAGATAAGGGGGCTGGGAAGGTGGTTCAGTGGTAGAGCGATTGCCTTGCATCCATTCCTCAGCATCACATAAGCAAAAAGAAAAAAGCCGGAAGTGGCGCTGTGGCTCAAGTGGTAGAGCGCTAGCCTTGAGCTGAAGAGTTGAGGGACAGCGCCTAGGCCCAGAGTTCAGGCCCCCACGATCGGACCCCCCCCACAAAAAAAAAGAACATAGATAAGATTTGCTTTTTCTGGTCTATTTAGACTTACAACTGAAACACATATATCAAGTGAAGTGAACAGAAGCAAAAAGGAAAGCTAATGTATTTCATATCACTCACCATTCACTTCAGAACATAGCTAAACACATGAAAAGGGGCCCTAGTAGCCTTGTCTCCACTCAGAGAACTATTGACTCCCCCAGGGATATTGAGTGAAACATAGTAGGAGTTCAGGAAATGCATAACAAAGCAAAATGAAAGGCTAGAAGAGGTGGTTCATGCTTTTAGTGCTAGTTATTCAGGAGGCAGAGGTAGGAAGATCTTGGGTTGAGACAGCCTGGGCAATGTTTTGAGATAAACTTAAAGCAAAAGCTCTGGAGATAGAGTGTTTCCTAAGCAACTGTGAGGTCTTCAGTTCAATCTCAACAGAAAATACAAAGCAAAGCAAGATAAGGAAGTGAGTCATCTATCATACTAATGGGAAAGCCAAGATTAAAATGCTACAGAGTATTGGGCGCCAGTGGCTCACACCTATAATCCTAGCTACTCACGAGGCTGAGACCAGAGGAAAGTTTGTGAGACTCTTATCTCCAATTAACCACCAGAAAGCCAGGAGTGGCGCTGTGGCTCAAGTGGTAGAGCAATGGCCTTGAGCTGAAGAGCTCACAGGCCCAGAGTGCAAGCCCCACAAATGACCAAAAAAAAAAAAAGCTACGGAGCTGAAGTTTCACAAGATGAAAATGTTCTAGATAGAGATCTACTGCATATTAACCCTATGTATGAGCATATTAACCCTACTGAATTCAATTCTTAACAATGATTAAGATGAGAATTTTTACATCTTGTAAAAAAAATACATTAAAACATAAACAAAGCACCCTAGTTTGAAGCCAGTTTGCCTAATCCTATTATACCGTAGAGATTTGTAAATGGCAGAAGAATCACAATGATCTACAAGCAAAATTCTAGAAATGTAAAATTTCATTACAACTGATGACTCTCAATGTGTGCTTTTACGTGCTTAGGAATCACCCATGAATTGATTCGTTTGCTAAGAACATAGCCAGAACTAGGCACCGGTGGCTCATGCCTGTAATCCTAGCTACTCAGGAGCCTGAGATTTGAGGATCACGGTTCAAAGCCAGCCTGGGCAGAAAAGTCAGTGAGACTCTTTTCTCCAGTTAACCACCAGAAAACTGGAAGTGGTGCTGTGGCTCAAGTGGTAGAGTGCTCCTTGAGCTGAAGAGTGCAGGGATAGCGCCCAAGCCAGAGTTCAAGACCCAGGACCGACAAAAAAAAAAAAAGAACAAAGCCAGAAAAACACTGCCTGGCTCTTACATATGAGAAAGGTGAGCAAAGTTAGTCTATTCTGCATTAAGGGCACCAGTCCATGCTTCAAGATAAGAAGGGATCAGACTGTATACCCAGGTACTGGGCTAAGTGCTACACATAACTCAAAATAAAATTTTAACATGATAATACTGTTCAAAATAAGCATTATAGTCCCAATTTATAGATAACAGTACTGAAGCTTAGAACTTAAGTTACTAAAGTTACACAGCTAGCAAGACCAATCAGGTCTACATGTGTGAGTCTGTCTAGTTTAACAGTGCATCGTACAGTGAGCAATTAAGAAAAATTAAGGTACTTGTACATTACAATCATTTTAGACTGCACATATCATTCATTTTCATTTTCATTGAATTAATATCCCTTTGTAATGTGAGGAGGTTTCATTGTGATTTTCCATACATGTACACAGTATCCTCTTCACAACCCCATTGTTCCTCCCTCTGCCCACTACTGTTCATTCACATACATATATGTGCATTACATGCATACATACATACACACATACACACATGTTACATCCCAAGTGTCATTCTGTATATGTGTGTGTGTGCGCACACGCGTGTGTGCATGCGCGCACGTGCACACACACTGGTAGTGGGGCTTAAACTCAGGGCCTGGGTGCTGTCACGTAGTTTTACCACTCAAGACTGGCACTTTACCACTTGAGCCACAGCTCCAATTTCAGCTTTTTGCTGGTTAACTGGAGATAAGAGTCGCACGGACTTTCGTGCGCTGGCTGGCTTCATACTACGATCCTCAGATCTCAGCCTCCTAAGGAGTTAGGATTATAGGTGTGACACAACTATACCTGAGCCAAGTATTATTGATAATTTCCTAGCATCTCAAAAATTATTTATGCTATTGTCCCTACAGGTGGGCTTAAAAGTCCCCACCAGCCAGGTGCCAGTGGCTCATGCCTGTAATCCTAGCTACGCAGGAGGCTGAGATCTGAGGATCTTGGTTCAAAGCCAGCCCAGGCAGGAAAAGTCCGTGAGACTCTTATCTCCAATAAACCACTAGAAAACTGGAAGTGGCGCTGTGGCTCAAGTGGTAGAGTGTTTGCCTTGAGCTGAAGAGCTGAGGGACAGTGCCCAAGCCCAGAATTCACGCCCCACGACCAACCAAAAGAAAAAAAAAGTCCCCATCATTATCTTAGAGACTAAACAGCATATCTGTGGTATTAACCTGAGGCCACACTAAATGAAACAGAATTTACGTGAATATCACTATTCCACTCATGCAGAAGTGTTGAGAAATTAAGCATAGTAAGGGTTTTTACTACTCCATTCACTGAAAATATTACTCTTCACAAACACCATGGACATCAAAACTGCACTCTTACCTGAGAGTTTTCCTCCAAGTTTTCCAGTCTTTTAATTTTATGTTTTACTTGAATTATATTCCCTGATACGTCAAGCAGCTCTGATTGTTGTTTCAATAAATCTTCGATATCAACTACAATCTAAAAACGAGAAGCAGAGGTTTTAAAAACATATATCTTAAGCTGAGTGCCGGTGGCTCATGCCTGTATTCCTAGCTAGTCAGGAGGCTGAGGATCGTGGTTCAAAGCCAGCCCAGGCAGGAAAGCCCATGAGACTCTGATCCCCAATAAACCACCAGAAAACTCGAAGTGGCGCTGTGGCTCAACTTGTAGAGTACTAGCCTTGAGCTGAAGAGCTCAGGGACTGCACCCAGGCCCAGAGTTCAAGACCCATGACTGGCAAATATATATATATATATATATATATATATATATATATACACATAGTTTGTCTTGCTTTTTCCTGTAATAATAATCAAGTTTTTTGGTTTTGTTTGTACACTTTGTTTTACTTTGTTTTTTGTGCCAGTCCTGAGACTAGAACTCAGGGCCTGGGTGCTGTCTCTGAACTTTTTACGTATGCCTGGCACTTCACCACTGGAGCTACAGCTCTACTTCTAGCTGTCTACTGTTAAATTGGAGAGAGGAGTCTTACAAAGCCCAGACTGGCTTCAAACCATGATCCTCATATCTCAGCCCCCTGCATCGCTAGGATTACAGATGTAAGCTACCAGCACCCAGAGAATGATCAAGTTATACAGGAAATGATATGAAACAAGCATGTCCATGTGATTGCACTTATGGAAAATATATTTAGCCATTTCATTCATCAAAATTATAATCTGCTCAAATCTTCTATGTTGAGCAAAATACCCAACACATTTAATCATAGATATTTGAGAGACTGACACTGGAAAGACCGTGGCATAAGACCAGCCCAAGCAAAAAAGTTCGTGAGACCCTATCTAAATCAATAAAAAGCTAAGTGCAGTGGCATACAGCTGTGATTCCACTATGCACTAAGCATAAATATGAGGATAACAGTCCAAGCTGATGTGAGCACAAAGACAAGTCTAGCAATTCATATGCAAGTAGATGCATAATGTGGCAGAGAGTACAATTTTGTGGGTACTGGGTTGGAGTGGGAGGACAGACAAAAATACTAGAAGGAGCAAACTGTAACTTTAACCATTTCATTAAGGAAAGTCTTGTAAAGAATGTGGCATTTCTTGGATGGAACTAGAACAAATCATGTTGAGTTAGGTAAGCCAAGATCACAGAGCAAAGGGCATACGTTCTCTCTGTCATGTGGAAGTTAGATTTAAATAATGCAATGAAATATGACAAATTATACCGGATTCTAGACACTCACATACACTGAGACCAAAAGAGGAGAGAATCCAAATGGCACAATGCCAAAGCACCTCTTCATATTTATATAAAATAATATACATGCTGAAACATGTATATGGAAACAAGTCTTTTCTTCATTTTTAGGTTTTAGCTTTTGATGATTCTGTCTTTGTTACCTCATGCATGGCGTACTTACGTGAATATCTTTGGGAGGTTGGGGGGAGGACAAAGAGCTTGAGGGAAAAGGGTGGAAAAGTGCAGCAGTGGAGCTCACTGGACACTGATGAACGTGAACTATACAACTCGTGGGTGGAGATGGGAGGGAGGGACTGAGAGGGAGTGAGGGAACAGAAGACACTGTACTAAAGGAAATGTACTCATTATCTGACTCATGTAATTGTAACCTCTCTACATCACCTCTATAATGACAATAAAGTAAATGTAAAAAAAGAATATGGCATTTCTAAAGCTCCTTAAATCAAGGGAAGAAAAAGATGAGTAGTGACTAAGGTCTGTATTCACAATGTACATTTGTAAACTTAATTAGCAGCAAAATAGCTCACAAACAAGAGAAAAGAAAAATGAGTTTCCATGTGGACAACACACACGGGACCACAGCACGCATGGCAGGTAGATGTCCAAGGATCCACCCAGAACAAAGTTCATCTTCCAAATAATGTATAATTAAATGTGATCTAGTTACTTCTGTCAGAAACAAACTCCTGGAGCAGAAAAAAAAAAACCATATTTGAGCTGGTTACCAGTGGCTTACACCTGTGATGCTGCCTATTCAAGAAACTAAGACCTGGAAGATGGAGGCTCAAAGACTCACCCCAGGAACCCTTTTCAATTAACCAGCAAAAGGTTTGACTGGAGGTATGGATCAAGTGGTAAAGTGCCAGCCGTGAACAAGAAAGCCAAGAGAGAGTGTGTGGTCTTTAAGTTCAAACCTTAGTACTGGTATACATAAAAAAGACATTATTAGATCATATGTTGTTAGTATTTTAAAAAACAAGAAGGATGTAAATATTATTTCTTGGCAAAGCTATTGCATAGCTTGAAATCACTTTATATTTAAAATAATAAACCTCAAGACAAAGATAATATTTGAACTGACCGTTTGAAAATCTTGTTCGAATCTCCATAGTTGCAGATACTGCTCCAATTTCAATTGGTGTTTTTCCCAAAATCCATCAAAAGCAGTTTCCATATCATGCACTTGAGTCAGCAATCTTAAACAAAGAAAAGTTTTTTTAAAAAAAAATCTGTAAAAACAGCCATCTCTTTAGCAGGTATGCGGGTAAACTAAGACACTAAGAATTCCAGGCAAAGTCTCAGAGTGTGCAACACTGGTTCCGCTGGAAGAAAGATCTCCAATTTCCAGAGGTTCACAAATACTTCTAACACAGAGCAGGCTGCAGGAAAAACCTGAAATTTATATTTTGCCTAATAAAAATGTTACACTACTTTATTGGCATTCATTAATAATACAAGGTGATTTCATTGTGATAATTCCATAGATGTGTACAGTATATTTTGAACAAACTCACCTCCCTCACATCTACTATTACATTCGCTAACTCCCCTTCTACTTCCTGTCTCTTTCAATTTTTTACACAATGTTTGCTGGGTTTTGTTATTGTATATTTGTATGGCCATCTGTCTGTCTGTCTGTCTGTCTGTCTGTCTGTCTGTCTGTCTGTCTGTCTCTCTCTCTCTCTCTCTCTCTATATATATATATATATATAACTTATTTCAATCCTCTTCAGTCATTAGTACCCTCTGTTCTCTCCCTCTCCCTCCTGCTGATTCCATTAAGTCCCTCTGAGACTTATTTCCCCATAATCATCATCAACTTAGGTCTACATTTAATTTTCCAGCAAAAATATCGGAATATCATTCAGTCCTAAAGAATGAAATTATGTCATATGTAGGGAAATATACACACCTGAAGATCATCACAAGGTAAGCCAAGGTCACCAAGCCAAATATACATATGCATATACATATACATATTCATATTGGAGGGGGGAAATATACATGAAGCAACTCCAAGAAGGCACTACTTACTTGTTGACAGTTTGCCAGTCACCACAAATGGGATGTCGATGCTCAAGACTTGAACTGATAGCTCCTTCAGTGGCGGGTAATTGGAGATTTGTTAGCAGAATTTGTCCTTCTTTGGTTACAGTCATAATTTCATTCTGTCCAAAGGCACAACAGAATGCATTAGCCAGTTAGTCATGTACCTTGAACCACCAGAGACAAAAGGAATACATAGTATGGCACACACAATAGAAATGAAGTCCCACAGCTATGAGGATCCATGATGTCTTTGCCTTACAGATAGATACTGCAATCACATTTCATAAACTACCTACAGCCAGAGGTTCCACATGCTGTTTCTAGCCTCCTCTCACTGATGGCAAGTTCCATTCTATTCTGCTAATAGCTTTACTGTGCTGAAACAAAGCAGTATGAATCAAATAAAGATGACCTTAGTAGCATACCTAACATGTAATGCATGCTCAGAAATAATTTCTGGCCCATCTTTACTAATCCTTAAATGTTACCAAATACTGTCTGCCTTATGTGATAACTTCACATTGGGTTTAATTCACTTCAGGTGTATATACCACTGTATCAGACCTGATGTTTAGAGACTGGTCTAAGTACATGACCTTCTTCACGCATCTTACAATGGTCTAATATTTTCTTCAGGAGCTCCAAGGAACCTCTAAAATGGCAAGCAAAAAATTGGCAGGAGTGGCTGGCAGTCTGTAGCTGAGTAGTAGAATGTGTGAGGCCCTGAGTTTAATCCCTACTACCAAAAACCAAAAGAACTAATATTGATAAAGCACCAGCTATGTGTTAACAACCATTGTATGTGCATTGTATACTTTATCTCATGTTATCTCTGCAACAACTGAATACCAGGAATGACTGTATATTACATCATCATCATCATCATCAATCATGCTCTGCATTGTACACAGAAGGGGAGTTAAGCAAAGCTCAAAGGAAGGGAAACCACTTGCCTGACATCTCTTCTCTGTGAGCAACCAGAGATTGCTGTTGCTGTTGTTTTCTTATGTTTTGCTTTGTTTTTCCTGGACAGAATTTTACTTTCAGATTGTGATTCAAATCATTACAATGTCTCTCTTTGTTAGCTAAGACATATCACTCTACCGAGAAGGAAAAGCTGTCAGTGTACCCAGCATCATCCTCCCATGAAGAACAAGAGTGGTACTTGGATGCTTGGTACTTTTTTTTCTTAAGTCTGAGACTGGGACCCAAACTCAGTACCTGACGCATTTGCTCATTAGTTAGTGCTCTACTCTAACTGAGCCACACTTCCAACCCCAGATGCTGGGTACTTTATCAGATTGCTCTTAAACTTTCTGAGGAAAGTGACTATAAAAGCACTTGCTCATTGTCAACATTGTGTTTCCACATCCTCCCAAACCCAGCAATCCAGACAGTATTGAATAGAAGAACAAAATCAATTTTTCATTCCTGTATATGCTAGGAAACATCAAGCAGCATTATTGTGTAGGGGGAAAAAAGAGCTTACCAACATCTCCGGCTATAAAATAAATGCAAATCAAAACAACATTGAGATTCCACCTCACCCCAATTAGAAGGGCTATTATCAAGAAAACTAACAAAAAATGCTAGAGAGGATGTGGCCAAAAGGGAATGCTACTACACTGTTGGTGGGAATACAAACTTGTTCAGCCACTCTGGAAAGCAGTGTGGAGATTCCTCAAAAGACTAAACATAGAGCTCCCCTATGACCCAGAAATCCTACTTCTAGGCATTAACCCGAATGATCACAAACAAGACCACACTAAACCTACCAGCACGATGATGTTCACTGCAGAATTATTTACCATGGCTAAGCTATGGAACCAACCCAGATGCCCCTCAGTAGAAGATTCTGTGCTTCCATCAGAAAGAATAACGTTGCTCCATTCACAAGGAAATAGAAAGACTTGGAAAAAATTATATTAAGTGAAGTAAGCCAGACCCAAAGAAAAGTAGGTTGCATGATCTCCCTCATTTGTAAGAACTAGAATATGTCTAGGATATTCTTAACAGGGGATCACAATAACCCAATTGCTTAGTACATAGGACCATATATAATGAAGTGCATCAACATGAATGCCAATATATGGAAACAAGAGGTTCTTATTACACCCCATATGTAGTTTGTTCTTTTATTTTTCATTTCTCTTAGTTTTTTGTGCCTCGTGTTTTTCATATAAGATAATGCAATATGTGGAAAGGAAGGGGAATCACAGAAACAGCAGGACAAAGGATGAACCAAAGCAACATTGATACTTACTTAACACTGTATTGGATAGGAACTTTACAACTTGGCAGGGAGGGGAGTAAGGAGGGGTATGCAGGAGAGAATGAGGGATGGGGTAACAATGTTTAAAAACAAATGTACTCTTTGCCTTACTTATGTAACTGTGACTCCCCTATTCATCACCTTTTCAATTAAATAAAGAGAGCTTACCGAAATGAACCCCAAGATAGGGATGCAAGTGGTTTACCTTTCTTGCTGTAGTTTTTTAATGTATTTATAATGCAACATGTGATTTTTTTTGTTTCTGTTGTATGTTCTTCCCCCATGGTATAACCCCTGTTTTCACTGTATTTGATCCCAGTGTCCTACATCTTGTGTATACATTTTTCTAATTTGGGGCGGGGAAAGGAAATAACAAAATGCTGAAATAAGGATAAAGGTTGACCCACTGTAACAATGAGAGGTACAAGACATTATGTTGAAAATGAACTTTACAACTTCAGGATGGGTTTGAGGGAGGAGTTGGGGAGGTGGGGAGGGAGGGAATGGTTGGGGAAAAACAAAAGAGAGGGTAACAATGCTCAAGAGGAAATGTACTCATTGCCTTACTCATGTGACTGTAACCCCTCTGTACAGTATTTTTACAATAAAAAATATATACAAAAAAGAGATCAACTGAGATCAACTGAGCAATGCTAGCCTGGATTCCAACACTAGTCCATGGTAGAGACAAAATAAACCAGGCATCCCGACTCTGCATTAAGTGTTCTTTCTCCCATTTCATATTGTATCAAACAGATTACCTATCCAACTCTTAACTTTCACCCTTGCCTTCCAAAGGAAAGAGCATTTCATGGGAGAATACATGACTTAAAAAATAACTATAGATTGCTTATTCTGAGATACTGTATATTCAGAAATAAACAGCTTGTCAATGCATCATTTACAAGGCAGCCTCAGATTTAACAAATACAGTACATTCTTCTCTTGTAACATATTGTTTTTGAAATATAATACATAAATATCTTTTACGGGTAACAATTGGTGTGAAATGGACACATACCTTCAACAGGCGGTACCTTTCCGTACGGATTGCCAGAATTTCTTCTATGGAAGGAATGTCATCTGGTAGTTCAGTCTCAGCCAGTTCAGTTCCAAAGGACTGTAATACCTGAGCCATTTCTTTCACTGTGAGGGCAAAATTTTCTATAGCCTGCAAAAAGCCAGTGAATCTTTCATGAAACCTGTACCCAAAACACCAACACCTAGATTTTAGGCCAGGTGCCAGTGGCTCACACCTGTAATCCTAGCTATTCAGGAGGCTGAGATCTGAAGATCAAGGTTCAAAGATAGTCCAGGTAGGAAAGTCAGAGACTCTTATCTCCAATTAACCACCACAAAACCAGAAGTGACACTGTGGCTCAAAGAGGTAGAGCACTAGCCTTGAGCAATAGGAGCTCAGGGAGAGCACTCAGGCAGAGTTCAAACCCCAGGACTGGCACACACACACACACACACACACACACACACACACACACACAGAACTACATTTGACACTGTACTGATTTGTATGCAGGTATCACAGAAAAGATACATGGTATGAATTCTCCTCTGCTACCAAAATTCGGTGTTACCTTTGGCAATCAACTCTAACTCTGTGCCTAAGCCTCTAAGAAACTAAAAACAACATTAAAGGTCTTCTTCCATGTCTTTTCTTTTTTCTAAATTTCTGGACTTAAATTCTCATGAGAACTATTTCTTAAAGATGTCATGTACTACTGGGTGCCAGTAGCTCATGCCTGTAATTCTATCTACTAAGATCTAAAGATTGAGGTTCAAAGCCAGCCTAGGCAGGAAAATCTATGCGGCTCTAATCTCCCATTAATCACCAAAAAGCTGGAAATAGAGCTGTGACTCAAAGTGATAGAACTCCATCCTTGAACAAAAAGGCCCGAAATTCAAACCCAGCACCAGCAAACACACAGATATATACACACAGACACACACACACACACACATACACACACACACACACACACACACACACAAGTTGTCGTGTACAGATTTATTTATGCCCTTGGAGACTAGTGTTTTCCTTGTGTTTATCAAACTCTAACTGGCAAAATTGCTGGATAGTAAGTCTACTTCTAAAGACAGGTGAGAACAACGAAGCCACTTGATGTTTACTGTCACTGATGAAAAGCCTTACTATTCTAAACAAGATGATAGTCTAAGGAAATGAGTCACAAGCTATCCCAACAACTCATCGCAAGTACTGCCAACATCTGACACTTCATCGCAGAGACTCTTTGCCCTGAAATGGCAAGTGAGGCTATTACTTTATATCCAATATCAACTACTGCACAGAAACATGAGGGAAATGCAGAAACTTTATCAACTTTACCACTCTCCACAAGGTGTCTGCTCTTTTCATTAGGACTGCTTGGTTATTAAAGGCTGAATTTTGAAAATGTTGACAAGACACTTTTTTATGAATGAATAAACTGTTACATGAACGATTAAATAAACTGCTGAATGAGGACTAGGTGTGAGGGAAATGCAGCCATGACGTCATGATTAATGAAGCATCATTATTTCTTTTAGAAGAGTTGCCATACCTCTGGGACTGGAAGTCAAGATATAGACTTCAATCCGGGAAGCACAAGGCGCTTACCTCTTGGGAAATTTGGAAATCTAATTAACTAAGATGATGAAACTGATTGCATCCATTGCATTTATAGGGAATTTACCATTGGCTAGGTACTGAATCAAACAGTTTAGGTTTGTTTCTCCTTTAACCTTCCTAAAATCCATAGCCAATAAGATATTATCAGTCCCATTTTATACTTGGGAAAATTGCCCAAGGTCATAGAGCTAAAATCAGCAGTACCAGGATTTGAATCCAAACCCTTTACTTCTTTAAATTACTATGTGGACACCGGAGGGGCTCGAAAAGAATAAAGCTCCTTATATTCCTACAACTCTCCTCCAACTGCCATCCTCAGGGACTCTTCATCATTTCTAGATATTTCCTTTGGAAGAAAATCGAAATATTGAATTATATTTGTACCTGAAAAGTAGGAGACCCCCAAATCAGGTTTTTCCCAAAGAGGAAAGAAAAACTTGAAGAAGTAGACTTAAAGGCTAGCAATGAACTATAGACTCTACAGTAAGGGCAAAAGCAACATACATTTCTGAAGACGATCCATTCACTGTGGCAGTACTGCAAGGTGCCGCCTAACTCGGGGGTTAACTGCTTGTCATCAATGTATGTCAGCAAACCACTAACTGAGCTCAGCATAACAACCTATATAAATAAGCAAGAAAGACACTATTAACTGGCCTGCACGTTATGCCCTCCGTTAAACTGTAAAATGAACTTTATCAGACAGCAGAACATTATCTTTTAGATGAGGCTCTAATAGGTCTTTCCTGTCTCCATGCCCACATGTGTATGTATTACCTTCTGTAGGTAATAACTAAATATTAAGCATTTCTCTGTAAAGCAAAATTAATCTCCATAGAAACAAAATTCTCCTTTGTCTAAAACTTTTTATGGCCAATGGCCACGCTTTGGGGGAAAAAATGTTCACAACAAATGACTTTATGCAGTGCATTATAATTTGTCAGGAGGCGTGAACTGTCCAATGCTACCCACATTTGTGAGCAATGTACTCCTGACAATAAGAACATAAAAATAACTTTTCAAAATAAAGAATGTGGTACACAGAACAAGCTCAGGATGGGAGTTCATGGGAGTTCAAAAACAAAACATTCACTCAGTGTTTACGAAAAATAAATCTTACTCATTATACCCACACAGAAAGATATATACACGTACAGAACACAGAACACACACTTTTCTAAAGGAATTGTTTTGTTATACATTGCCCTGTATGAAAGTTACAAGCAGCAGGCTTGAGGGCATTTCCAATTGACATTTTTGTGAGACATATTTTAGGCTTTTTAAATGCTCTATAGGCACATGTAAAATATTAACAGCGTGGTACAAAGTGTTCACATGAATTTAAAGGACAACACTGAGTCAATAGCTTACTGGTAATTTGAGCATGAAATCTTCCTGACTGAATCGAAATCCAATGTCTGTGAAGGTGCGCTGAAGAAAACTTGTAGGACGTAAAACCAGAACCAAGTGCAAGTTCCCAGGGAAAGAAGCCTGTGAAAGAAAGAACAGAAGAAATAAAGAAAACTTGACACAATGAGTTCTCAACTGGGCACAACGCAGAAAATATGTAATTGAAGAGAACAAGCTTGAAAGTCATAAAAGTCAATAACCAAACATTTAAAAATTAGACCTTGATACAATGTAAAAACATGGAAATAGAAAAACCTATGTAAGGTTATCAGGTCAAATCATTGCTAAGTACACTCCTACTTATAAAGAGTTAGACTCAGGGGCTGAGAAGGTGGCTCAGTGGTAGAGTGTTTTACCTTGCATGCATGAGGCCCTGGGTTCGATTCCCCAGCACCACATAAGAAAAAAATAAAATAAAATAAAAAATAAAGAGTTAGACTCTAAAACATCATTTTGAAATTTAGTTTTGATTTGAATTTTACTTTTGATTTTTTTAATTGACATGAAAGCATGCTTATTTATGGCGTACAATATTATTATTTGAAACATGTATACTATATGTAATGACCAAATAGTGGTAAATTAGCATTTCTATCTCCTGAAATATTATTTCTAAATATTAAGAATCTTCATCCTCTTTAATTCCAAGTGATTTGCAACTAGTAATGATTTACATTATAGGAAGTTAAAATTGCCCTACTGTGTTACAGAACATTACAACTACTTCTCTAGTTGAATTTTGGTACCAGTTATCTAGTCTGTCTGGCTCCTTCTCTTTTCCCCTTCCCAGAATCCAGTGATCTCTATTATTCCACTTTCTACTTCTATGCAATCAATTTTTCTAGTGTCCACCAAAGAGAACATGCACTCATTGGTCTTTCTGTTGTTATTGTTTTTGTCCTGGTCCTAGGGCTTATACTCTGAGCCTTGGTGCTGTTCTTGAGCGTTTTTTGATCAAACTTAGTGTTCTACCACTTCAGCCAGAGCTCCACTTCTGGCTTTTTGGTGGTTAATTGGAGATAAGAGTCTCATGAGCTTTTCTGGCCTTGTATAACTTCTTTTAAGAAATCTCTTTCGGATCATTTCTCTATTTTTAACAGGCTGCTTTTCTTTTGAATTGTTCATCTATTTGGGATATTAGGTCTTTGTCTGATAAATACTTCGCAAGTATTTCCTGCATTCTATAGGTTGTCTCTTTGTTCTATTTACACTTTCCTTTATGTGTAGAAGCTTTTTTTATCCAATTTTTTAAATTTTAATATTTTTTATTGTAAAGATACTATACAGAGAGGTTACAGTTACTTGAGTAAGGTAATGAGTACATTTCCTCTCCAGTATTGTTACCTGCTCCTTTGTTTTTCCCCAACCTTCCCCTCCCTGCCCACCTTCCCAACTCCTCCCTCCCCCACCTCCCCAGGTTGTAAAGTTTGTTTTTAACATAGTGTCTTGTACCTCTCATTGTTACAATGGGTCAACCTGTATCCTTATTCCAGCATTTTGTTATTTCCCTTTCCCTCCCCAAGTTAGAAAAATGTATATACAAGATGCAGGGTACCGGAATCAAATACAGTGAAAACAGGGGAAGAACATACAAAAGAAACAAATCACATAGTACGTTATAAGTACATTAAAACCAACAGCAACAAAAATAAAACCTCTTGTGTCCCTATCTTGGGGTTCATTTCCCTTAGCACCATCTTATATGGCCATACGTCCATAGCTTTTGACCATTTCTACTTGTCTGGTAAGATTATCTTAGATGTATACTAGTTATTGCAAATAAAGGAGACCATGGGACCTATGAATGTTTGGGTCTGGCTTACTTCACTAAGTAGAATGTTTTCCAAGTCTTTCCATTTTCTAACAAATGGGGCAATGTCATTGTTTCTGATGGAGGCATAGAATTCCATTGTGTATATATACCACATTTTCTTGATCCATTCATCTACTGAGGGGCATCTGGGTTGGTTCCATATCTTAGCTATGGAGAACAATGCTGCAATAAGCACAGTTGTTCTGGTAGCTTTAGTATGGCCTTATTTGTGATCGCTTGGGTGAATTTCCAAAAGTGGGATTGCTGGGTCATAGGGGAGCTCTATGTGTAGTCTTTTGAGGAAGAAGCTTTTTAGTTCATTGTACTCTCAGTTCTTACTTTTGTTTGTTGATTGGTGGGTTATTTTTGGCTTATGCTTTTGCCTAGACCACTTTATGTAACTGTTTCCCTTATGTTTTCTTTTTTTTTATTGTGAAAACACCATACAGAGGGGTTACAATTACATAAGCAAGGTAATGAGTACATTTTTTATCAAGCATTGTTGCCTCTTCCTTTGTTTCCCCTTCCCATCCCTTCCCATCTCCCATTCCCTCCCCACCCCCGCCCCAACCAAAGTTGTAAAGTTTGTTTTTTGACATAATGATTTGTACATCTCATTGTTCCCTTACGTTTTCCTCTAGTAGTTTCAAGGTTTCGGGTTTTACATTTTGGTTCTTGATGCAATGAATTACCTTTTATATAATAAGTGACAGGAGTCTAGTTTCATTCTGCATGTGTATACTTACTTTCCCTACCACCATGTATTGCAGACTATCTTTTATTCTTTTTGGGGGGTCATGGGGCCTGAACTCTGGGCCTGGGCGCTGTCCCTCAGCTCCTCAGCTCAAAGCTAGTGCTCTACCACTTGAACCACAGCGCCACTTCTGGCTTTTTTTTGCTTATGTGGTGCTGAGGAATCGAACCCAGGGCCTCATGCATGCAAGGCAAGCGCTCTACCACTGAGCCACCTTCCCAGCCCTATCCTTTATTCATTGTATGTGTTTTCATATTTTTGTGGAAAATTCAACAAAGCATCATGTTCTAAATGCCTACTCTATGCTAACTAATTTTGACTGTTTGCATTTTCATGGATGATGAAATCTATTCCATGAACTCCATCTACCCATTTCTAACCATCTTCCTAAAATACTCGTTTCTGCCCTCCCCTTGTACCCCTTGTGCCTCCAGAGTAATAAACACTGGCTGTGCTTGTTGAAAAGGAGGGTCTAGTTTACCCTATGCTGAACAAGCTTAACCAAATAAACTACAAATCTCAAAAATCATCACCCACCCAATTTTAGGAAAGAGGTAGACCATTGTCTCCAGTGGCAATTCTGCATTTTCTATCCTGCCACAACCTCCAAAAATTTCTGGACGTATAAGTGGTGAAACCATGATTGGTTTGCATCTACAACTGTGCTCTAAACCACTGAAAATCCTCCTATATTTTTTATTAACATATTATTTGTACAAATAGAAGGGCCTCCTTGTGATTGTTTCTGTATATTCCTAGATGCAGCCTGCTCATATTTACTGCTGTTAGTCCACTTCTTAAAGAGGCCCCAGTATAGAAGGTTATGAAAATGATACTGTGGAGCAGACAGAGATAATGGAGAAATATGCTAGAGAGAAAGGCAAGGCATCATGCAGCTCTTCACCCTGAAAAGCAGATGTCTGGGCACGTCTTAAAAAATATTGTTGGTTGGCAGATGAATGGATCCAAAAATTGTGGTATCTATACACAATGGAATATTATGCAGCCATTAGAAGTGACAAAATAATGGCATTTGCAGGGAAATGGATGGAGCTAGAAGGAATCATGTTGAGCAGGGTAAGCCAAGAGCAAAGAGACAAATGGTACATGGTCTCCCTGATAAGTGGATGCTAAATCCAAAATGTTAGCTGATACAACAAAATTAACAGGACTTAAGAAACAAAGAACTCCCACTCATCTGGTCGAACCACTACTAAATATCCCCATGCTGCTGATCACATGTATGGTGTATATGTGTACACCATTAAATGTTATAGACTGTGATAGACAATTTGCTCCAGGAAAGTTAGAATGAACTTGTGACTTTAAATGAGCATCATTATTCCACAATACTGTGAAATTTGGGAAATTATGTAATCACTTAATCACAATTAAAAAAAAAAGAACCTCGGGGAAAGTAGGGAGGGAAGGGATGGTAGGGGGAAAACAATGGAGGGGGTAACAATGCTCAGTGGGAAGTGTACTCATTACCTTACTCATGTGACTGTAACCCTCTGTATAGTATCTTTACAATAAAAAATTTAAAAAATATTGTTGGTTGGGGAAAAAATATGGTTGGGGGCTGGGAAGGTGGCTCAGTGGTAGAGGGCTTGCCTTGCATGCATGAGGCCCTGGGTTCAATCCCCAGCACCAGAAAAGAAAAAAGAAAAAAAGCCAGAAGTGGCACTGTGGCTCAAGTGGTAGAGTGCTAGCCTTGAGCTGAGGGACAGCACCCAGGCCCAGAGTTCAGGCCCCACGACCGGACCCCCCCCCCAAAAAAAATATATTGTTGGGCAGGGTGCTGGTGGTTCATGCCTGTAATCCTAGCTACTCAGGAGGTTGAGATCTGAGGATCAAGGTTCAAAGCCAGCCTGGGTAGGAAAGTGCATAGAGACTCTTATCTCCAATAAACTACCAGAAAACCAGAAGTGGCACTGTGGCTCAAGTGGTAGAGCATGAGCCTTGAGCTGAAGAGCCCAGGGACAGCGCCCAGGCCCATACTTCAAGCCCCAGGACAGAGAATATACATATATACATACATACATACATACATACATACATACATACGTATATATAGTTGGGCCTGGAGTGATGGGTGAATGGTAAAGCTCTTGCCTAGCTTGCCCAAGGTTCAATTCCCACAAGTGATTAAATTAAAAAAAAAACAAAACAAAACATTTTGTCTCAATGGGCAAAGCACCTGGTTGGAAAGAGCAGTGAAACCTTAAGGAAGCAAAAGGTTTCATACAGCTAATGGCTGTTGTGCTCAAGGAATATATGTGGAAGGAAGTTCATTAGGTCTTTCCATTTCCTACATGTCCTATTCTCTTTAAGGGATATAAATTTTAAACTTCAAGTTTTTATTTTTTTAAGTATGTAGGCTCAAAGGCATGAGTCCATCAATACATAACCTGCAAAAAGTGCATTTTTAAAAACTGAAAACATTTATTTTGGGGGCAATTATGCTTACAAAGTTTTTCATTACAGAACTATTCTGAAATTATTTTTATTGAT